CAGGGACATTGCAGTGAAGAAACAGTTCATGGCATGGCAGGCAGAAGGCAGCAAGCAGTGAGCAGAAAGCAGCAGGAGGTCTGCCGCCTTTCTGTCCCTTTGTATTCCATTTAGGCTACATGTCTTTTTTTTTTTTTTGCTATGTAGTTTAGACTGGCCTTGAACTCACTATGTAGTCCAGACTGATCATGAACTCACAGAGATCCTCCTGCCTTGGCCTCCTAAATTGGGATTGCAGGCATTTACCATTACATGCATTGATTGGTGCTACCCACACCCAGGGAGACTTCTTTTATCCACACTCTTAATTCTAGTATTATACCCTCAATCCATACTCACATATATTAAATTCAACCACCTCTGAAACACCCTGCCTTGGGAGTTTTGGGGGCAAGGTACATCTAAATACCAGCCATAACATAGCATATGCAAAAATGGGTTCCAAGTGGATTAACAATCTACAGGTGAGAAAACAGTTATATTAAGAAAATACAGACATAACCAGGAGATAGAGGAGCTTTCCTAAGCAAAATACTTGGGAAACATTGATGAATCTAGTAACATAAAAATGAAAAATATATATAGTTAAAAACATGGCTGGAAGTTTATCTCAGTGGCATAAGTGCCTGCCTGGCAAGCACAAGGTCATGAGTTCAATCCCTGGTACCAAAAAAAACCCCAAAATGAAAAAGTTATGGTTCATGAGGAAGTTTTGACGGTACCTGAAGGATAAAGGGCCTCATGTCCTTTACATGCTAATAGGTCCTACTGATTCATTAGAAAAATACTCATTGTATTAATTAAGCTTTATGTTGCTATAATGAAGTACTAGAGGGAACTAATCTATAAAGAGAAAAGATTAGTTTATAGATTTAGTTCATAAGTGGTTCAAAGGAATGGTTTCTGGATTTGCTTAGTTCTGGTGAGGACTGTAAATCTTGGCATATGATAGCAGAAGCACATGTGGTAACTGGGGTGGGCAGAGAAGAGAAAATATAGGTGAGGTTTCATAATCCTTTTTGAGGGCATGCCCAGTGGCTTAGGGAGGTCTTATCAGACCCCACCTCTCTGAAAGGTTCCACATCATTTCCCAGTAATGCTACCCTAGAGACTAAGCCTTTATCACTCAAAGGGGGACACTCATACTACAGTTAAATGATATCCAACAGTAGCATACATTTAGCATAAAAGTACTGCACTAAAGATATGAAGAGTCAGTTCTAGTTTCAGATGACTTATAAATCTAAAAACATAATACAAGTGAAAACAAGTAATATGCCATTTTTAAGTTGTGTGATTTGGTAAAAATAAGCATATTAAAAGTGTGTGTACCCTTTAGCCAAAATATCTGGGACCAGAAATATTTCAGATTCCAGATTTTTTTAACATTTATATAAAATGAGATATGTTAGGGATGAGACTCAAGTCTAAACCCAAAATGCACGTATGATTCATATACACATGATTAGAAGATAATTTTGTACAGTTGTTCTAGTGTGCCTACATTTTGATTGCAGTCCATCACACTGTGGTCAGATGATGTCATGTTGGCACTCAAAAAGTTTCAGATTTTGGAGTATTCAGGATTTCAGATTGAGATTAGGAATGCTCGATGTATAGCCAGTACTAATGAGGGAAATAGGGTCTTTCATAATCTGTTATTGGAAGCATGTAGTGCAGTGCTCATTGTGGAATATAATTTGGTACATCCATCCAAATTTTAAATGCTTACTTTCTTGGATACAATTTTACCAGTAGAAGTCTACCCTAAATAACAAGGGTTTTTAAATGTGTATTGGTAGAGAGGTGTGTGTGTGTGTGTGTGTGTTTTGTGGTACTGGGGAGTAAATGCAGGGCTTTCATACTGAGCTACACCCCGAGCTATTCTTTTTTTTTTTTTTTTTTTTGGTACTGAGGATTGAATTCACAACTCTGTGTTTGCCAGGAAGGCAGTTAATGCTGCTGAGCTAAATCCATGGCCCCCCAGCTATTCTTCTATTTTTAATTTTGAGACAGTGTCTCACTTAGTTGCCCATGCTGAGCTCAACTTAATATCTCCTTGCCTTAGCCTTTTGTAGGACTGGGATTATAGTCCTGCAAAACCACCATGCCTATTTATGTAAAGGACCTTTAAGTACTATTTATAATAGTAGTAAAAATAAAAATAAAACTGCCTAAGTGTCAGTCAGTTGGGGACTAGTCGAATAAAATACCATACATTTTAGGGATCTCTGTGTCAGAATGAGGGATATAACTGAAGTAGGCTGATACTGTTGGTACTCTAGACATGGCCTACATTAGCCAAGGTGAGCCCACCAGCCATAATGTAAAAAGCAGAAGGATTCTGGAGAAAACATTGATGTTGATGGGCTTTCTGGTGCTGCTCACGAACAGAGCGACTCAGAGACCATGCAACAGAAGTAAAAAACAGCCAAGGAGAGGAAGGAACTCAAGTAGTTTTGTGGCTTGTATCTATCTTGCCTTTGTCCTGTGTGCCTGGAGTCATTCCTACCACATTCACATTTCCCTTATATTGCTCACAGCTTGCAACATTGATGGCATTCCCTTTGCCCTGAGTTTGCAGGAGGTCCTTTTGTACTACCTTCCCCTCAGGTAGCCTCTTTCTGCCTGGGTCGTTCTGTGAGGAGAGGGGATTACTCCTTCCTAGTGTTTTTTGTTTGTTTGTTTTGTTATTTTAGTGTGGGATACACACCAAGGAGCAAAAAATATCTATTTATCTGTCTATTTATCTATGGCATATACTTAAATGACAAAAAGTAAGTTGCATATCAAGATTTCATTTTTATGAAGCAAAGATGTGCCTATTTTTGATTACAAAGATAGATATATATACAAAAATAAGGAAAATGTAAGTGATAAGTGCACAGCTGTTAGCAAGGTGCTTTTTTTTTTTTTTTTTTTTAATACCGGGAATCAAACTCTAGACCTTGTGCTTGCCAGGCAGGTGCTGTGCCACTGAGCTATACTCCCCAGCCCAATTGAATTGGAGAGAAGAGAGGTTATAAGGATGGGCTAGAGAGGCATAGAAAGGGACTTTTAGTTTTACTTTAAATATTAAAACAGAAATACTTCAATCCCCGGTACCGATAAAAAGGAAAAAGACAAAAAAAAAAAAAAAATACTAAATCTGCTGAAAGATAAAATAGGTAGAACTCTTGAAGACATAGATACAGGCTAAGACTTGTGAACAAAACCTGACTGCATGGGAAATACTACAAAGAATCAACAACTGGGGATCTCATTTTACTTTTTTTTGGTATCAGAGATCGAATTCAGGACCTCGTGCTTGCCAGGCATGCGCTTACACCACTGAACTAAAGCCCCCAGCCCGGCATCTTATTTTACTAAAAAGGTTTTGCACAGCAAAAGAAATCACCAGCAGAGTGATAAGAGATTCCACAGAGTGGGAAAAAATTTTAGCCAGTTGTTCCTTAAACAAAGGATTAATATCTGGAACTTACAAAGAATTGAAAAAATTAGATCCCCCAAATTTAAAGAACAGTCAAAAAAATGGGCATCTGAGATGAATAAACATTTCTCATGCCGGGGATTTAGCTCAGCAGCATAAGTGTTTGCCTGGCAAGCGCCGAGGTCCTGAGTTCAATAAAAAAATAAAATAAATAAATAAATAAAAAATCTCAGATGAAGAGGTAGAAACAGCAAATACATACATGAAAAACTGTTCAACATTCCTGATCATTCAAGAGATACAAATTAAAACAATACTGAGATTCCATCTCACCCCAGAAAGAATGACTATTATTAAGAAATCAACCATTAACGAATGCTGGCAGAAATATGGGGAAAAAAGGAACCCTTTTCCACTGTAGGTGAGAGTGTAGACTGGTGCTAACCACTATGGAAATTAGTGTGGAAATTCCTCAAAAAGCTACGACTGGTGGTCCTATTCGACCCAGATATTTTCCTTCTTGGTATCTTTTCAGAAGAGTTAAAAGCATCATAGTGGAGCTGGGATTTAGCTCAGTGGCATAAGCACCTGCCTGGCAAGTGTGAGGTCATGAGTTCGATCCCCAATACCAAAAAAAAAAAGCATCATAGCATAGCAAAAATGCACAGCATGTTTATAGCAGCACAGTTTGTGATAGCTGTATCTTAGAAACAACTGAGTGCTCATCAGCTGAGGAATGGATAAAAACAGATGTGGTCTTTTAATAAAATGGAGTACTACTCAACCATAAAGAAGGATACCTTTGAAACATTTATAATGGGTGGGCCTTTCACAGTTAAGTGAAATAAATTGGACAAATGTGTAAATGTCACAATGTCTCTCTGATGTGAGAAATTGACTAATATTGTCATTTACACTGTAAACTTTCTTTTTCAAAATTTTTCAAAAGGCAAGGGAAACTAGGAAAGTGGGAGACAGGAAGGAAGGGAAAAATGAGAAAAGAGGGAAAAAATGGAAATAAAGTTTTGTAATTAAGGAGGAGAAGACAGCTTGAAGGAGTGGGGTGGGAAATAGGACAGAAAGAAATTAAGATATCATGTACAGGTGCAAATTATCATGTATACCTAAATGGTACCAATAAACTTAGAAATAGTAACTTTTTAAAAAATTTTAAATATTAGGATTTAGGTTATTTTTACTTTCAAGTTTTTCTGTTAATTTTCCAATTAAATAAAATAAGTTAGAAATATTTGTTACATGAATGGAATATATACATGTATTTGTATATTTGTTTTAAGTTCATATTTTATCACTATTGTAAACTCTTAAAAGTGAAGGCTCTGGAACATGGTTCTCATTCTTGCCAGTTCTGTGTAAAATGGGGAGAAACTAAAAATTTTACCAATGTGAGACTTCAAGAACTGTAATCCAGGTGTGAATATTTGTGTCTTTCAGTAAACTGCAAAGTTTTTAATCCCTAGCTTGAGCTTTTAATTTAGCCAACTTCCTGATACGGATTATAAATAAGGATTTTCACTTTTTAAATGTGTATTTTATTTTTTCCTGATAGAAATGACATCAGATGTACCATCATTGGGTCCATCCATTGCCTCTGGAAATCCAGGGCCTGGGATTCAAGGTGGGGGTGCCATTGTCCAGAGGGCTATTAAGCGTCGACCAGGGTGAGTGTGAGTATAGTGTCAGAAATGTCTCTCCTATAAACCAACCTGATTTAATTGCTGAACCCACTTGCTACTTTTTATCCTCTCACTTCAGCTGTTCTTTACTGTTGCCATATAACTTTCACAATCCCTGAACTTACTTAATATAAAATTGATACCTATCTAAGTTTGTTATAAGTGGGTATGTGTATGTATATGTATGTGTGTGTGTGTTTACACCAAAAACCTCTGCAAGAACTGTGGCCAACCCCAGCAATTTCACTAAGTAGTCTATTGCTAAGAAAACTCTGCTGCTTTTACTAAGCTTTGTATCTACCTTTTCAAAACTTTGATGATCTTCTTTTTTGAATTCAGAGAATGTTAAACTCTAGAATATTTCTTTTTTTAAAAGTTACTGTTATTTTGATTTGGAATACAGAATCCATTCAGTTTCAAATGTATTTATTAAATATCTAATTAGTATATGACATTGTGCTGATTGCTGGTATGAGCCGAAGATAAATAAGACACATTGTGTGTCTCCAATTTGATTAAATTTTGACAGTGATAATCATTATACACATAAATATGATACACGATGGAAGAACTTTCGTAAGAAACAAATACAGTGTTTTTTAGTATGTGGGAAAAGTTTCAGAAAGGAGGCTGCTTTGGAAAGGACTGAAAGAATGGCTAGTAATTTGTATATCCTTTGGTGTTAAACTGTTTTTATTAGCTAATCTTAACTAGCCTTTAAGTTTTTGTCCCATCAGTAATAATGTAACAGTCATTCTTGGGTCAAGAAGTAGCATGATTATTAAGACATGCTATGTATCCAAGAACTTTGTATACTTTAATTTTTTACCAAGGCATAGGATGAATAAGTAACTTCTAAGGTTCTAAGGTTAATAATGATAATGTATGAATCATAGGAGATTAGCATTAGAATGCACTCTCAAGTAATGTGCTGTGGTTATATATAACAGCTAACAAAAGCAATATAATTATCAAAACTGGGAGGTCATTTGAGAAAGTGAAATATTTAACTGAAAAGAGTTGTGTATTCCTGTAACCCCAACTACTATACTTGGGAGGCTGAGGTGGCAGGATAACAAGTGTTAGGGTAGCCTGGGAAATACACTGATACTCTGCCTTTTTTTTCAGTTGTGCCATGAGTTTTGTATATGTCATTTCTTTCTTTGTTGTTGTTTTTAAATTTTTATTTTTATTTGTACAGTAAATCCCTGATTTACAAATGAGTAATGTGCCAGATTTGTTTGTAAGCTTGACAGTGAGTACTATATACTATACTTGTGAAAGAAAGTTCTCAACTTGAATGTTAAGTTGGGAACTTACTGTAAATGTTTGAAATACATAATGATTATATTTATTGTGAGACCCTATCTTAAAATGTATAATGTATACACAGCAAAAAATCTAAATGAACACTCATCAGATTTCTAGGTAATAGGTTTATGAGTGATTTATTAATCTTTTAATTACTTTGCAGGTTTCCTGAAATGAGTATGTATAATTGATAGAAAAATTCATTTAAAAATTTTTTAAAATATTTCTTTTAAAGACAGATTGGAAAATAGAGAAAGCAAGAATAAAAAGTGGCCAGAGTCAGATACTATCACATTTTGTGTATTTCCTTAAGTTTTTATACATAAACCTTTTAAAATAGTTATATAATTATATGAATCTATATAGTTTTATCTAATAGCAATTTTTACATTGTTTTTTGTGTTATATAAACGTAGTTTTTAATGCTTGTGTAAAAGAATGTACTTAATTCCTTTTTTTTGAGAGAGTCTCACTATTTAGGTCAGGTTGGCCTTGAACTTGTGGTGATCCTCCTGCTTCAGCCTCCTGAGTGCTAGGATTACAGGTGTGTGCTACCACACCCAGCCTTTATTCTTATTTTGGAATATTTAAATTATTTTGAAAATTTTACTATTATTTATGGTGCTATAATGAAGTTTTTATAAATACCCTACCCCCTTTTCAAATTTTTTCTTCATGGTAGAGTCTTAGAAATGCAGATATTGGGGAAATGAGTAGGACTTTGACTGTGGACCAGGGGCCAGAAAGCAGTAAGAGGAACAAACATTTTTTGCCATCTGCTTCATATGCAGCTCATCTGCAGACCCATAATACCAGGTTATTGTACTGGTAGAGGAGCCAAGAGTAATCACTGAGTTATGATGGTAACATGAGCAACATTTTAGTTTAATAGAATGTAGAAATTAATAGCAGATTGGCCTACTTTATTACCCATAATCTGCCCTAATCCCCTCAGGTGAAAGTCACCTTTCCTTTCACTGAATGTCTATAACATGTCAGTTATGTGCCTCACATGGCCCTTTCCCATTTCACTTGTTTTTTATTTGTATTTGTCTAGGCAAAAGAGGCCCTAGCGGTTGAGGTTTTGTTTTTATCCAGAATATAGCATCTATTACATGTTTAGACTAACAATTCCTTATGTTTTACATAATTTATGTAATGATATCACTGTTTTGATGTGTTTCAGAAAGCTGGTAGAGTGGCTTGGAGGAGACCATAGAAATAAAAATATAGACTTAGGAGCTTGAGGCATAGTCCAGTGATGGCATGTACAAGGCCCTGGCTTTGATGTTCAGCACCACCAACAAAAAAAAGCCCCAAGTTAAATTACTTAACATTAATTTTTTTCTTACCTGTTTTGAGTAGATTACTGTTCTTTCCATAGAAGTTATATTCTGAGGCAAGCCTTTGCAAAGATGGACTGCTACCCAGGGCAAGCACTGGGTTAGCAGTAGATACTTTTTTTTTTTTTTAAATTTCCCAACTTCTTTGCTTAGTCTGGCATGATGGGGAAGATATATTGTTGTTTGACTTCTATCTACTTTCTGTTTTCCTTCTGTAGGTGGTTGTACAGTATATTGAGTAATTTTATTACCCAATATTACTCTCAATATTACTTAATATATTGAGAAATTTTAATGTTCCTTAATGTTCTATATTATCAGTAGACTTAATGGTATTTTTTATTGACTTTCTCTAGGCTGGATTTTGATGATGATGGAGAAGGGAACAGTAAATTTTTGAGGTAAGAGTTTGAAAAACTTTCTTTAAACTTACAATGTGAAATTAATGACCCGTATACTTGTAACTTGTAATTTTTTATTTTTGGGCCTAAGGAAAGTACTTTTTAAAATCACACATTTTCCTATTATGTCCTATAACATTTTCAGGCATTCTTTTAATAATTTCAGAGACAGAACCTCAAGGAAGAGAAAACAGAATTTACAAGACGCTCTGTATCAGTTATCTATTGATGGAGAGCTTAAAAAGAACAATGGCTTATTATTTTTTCCAATTCTGTGGATCAACTATATGATTATTCTGCTGATCTTGCCTAGACGTACTCTTAAGACTATGTTCATCTGCTGATCAGCTGAGAGGTAGACTTAGCTGGGATGGCTGATAACTGATATTTTGTCCTGAAGGAGGTTAGACCAAATTTCTTCAGGTGGTAATAACTGTGGTGCAAAAGGCGAGTTCCAGTATGCTTCACAAACCTCTGTTTCTGTGACATTTGCTAATGTCCCCAATGGTCAAAGCAAGTCTTATGTTTATGTCCTAAGTCAATATTGGAAAGGACTATACAAGAAAGTTGATACTTTGAGGTATGGCTTGTTAATGTACTACTTTATTATATCCTCTGGTATGATACCTATTGACTTCTCCTATAGGCAGCAGAAATTGGAATTTGTATCCCCCTTTTTTGGTACCAGGAATCAAACTTATAACCTTGCACTTGCCAGGCAAGTGTTCTTATGCTGAGCTATAGCCCTGGCCTGAAATTTGTATTATTGAGTAATAAATCTTTTAGAGCATTGAAAATAAATGTTTCAGTATATTGTTGAAGGAACTCTTCTAAAAACGGGATATTCTTACTGAATAGCTATTGTTTGATTTGTTTCTATGTTTTAAAAAAAAGAGTAAGACTAAAAAATGATAACCATGACTCAAACTTCCTTTTTTCTTTCTCAAGTTTAAACTGTTATCCAGGTAATCTCTGTATTGCTAAGTAGCAAATACTTGGTAAATAAGTAAAGAGGGCCTGTTTAAAAAAATTGGTTGGTTATATCGTATTTGTTTTATTGACTTTTTAACAGGAAAAGTAATATAAAAATATTTTATTTTAGATATTGACATTCAGTAAAAATACATATATATATTTTTGGTAACATTTAAACTCAGGTCATATTTCTAGCTACTAACTGGATAATGTGCTTTGCCACAGACTTTTGAAAACAACAGCTGTGGCTTGGCTTCTACACAGAAATAGTTGTAAATGAAAATAATGTTGTAAGAGGTCTCTTTAGACTTAGTGGGCCTCAAAAAATGTGAAGGGGGTTGAGATTTCATTTTCTGGCAAAAAATGAACTTTTTCAAGCAGCTTTATTGAAAATTCACCCACTTCAAAATTGTTGTCTAGTAATAAGTGCTAATAGTAGAGACTTGGTAATAGATTACTTTGTTATCTTTTTAAGTATTTAATATACTTTTTACTATTTAGTATTATTTTGCAGTGCTGACAATTGAACCCAGAGCTTCTTGTGTGCTTGGCAAGCACTCTCCCATTGAATTATATAGACATCCCCTATTATTGTTAGGTTAGATTGTGAACCTTCTAGAAAAAAAGAAAACAAAAATTTATCAGTAAGCTGCAGATTCTGTAGGGACACTTAAAATAACTTCCAAAATCACTTTCTGCTCAAAGTTGTTAGAATCTTCGCTGTGTCCTGTGCAATGAGAATACAGCTCCAGTTGTCTGGGGAATAGCAGTATTTTGGGAGTTAGGGCTTCCTCTCTCAACATGTTCTCTCCATCATATTTTCTGTAGTAGTGAACAGAATTTATCTGCCAATTAAGTAGAATTTAAAACTATACTTTAAGAACTTCTGGTTGGGTTTAGTGGCACTTGCCTATAATCCCAGCAGTTGGGAGACTGAGATAGGAGGGTTACTGCCTGAACTATAGATCCTGTTTTTTAAAAAGAAAAAAGAAAAAAAAAATTCTGTACAAAGCCTGGTGTAGTAGTGTATGCCTAGTTGTCCTAGTAGTCTAGGAGGCTGAGGCAGTAGGATCACAAGTTCCAGCTCAGCCTGGACAATTTAGCAAGAACCTATCATAAGTTAAAAAACAGAAAAAATGCTGTGTAGCTCATGTAGAGGCTCTAGATTCAAGCCCCAGTACGGGGCGGGGGCTGAGGGGGGAATCTAGGGAATTGCAAGAAAATGTGCAAAAATTTATCTTAGAAAGAATTAATATCAGAAAATTAAAGAATTCCCGCAATTCACGAATAATAACAGCAACGACAACATAACCTGGTTAAAGAATGAACAAAATACTTGAATATTTATCCAAGGAAGAGACCCAAAGGGCCAAGTGTTTGAAGGATGCTCATATCACTAATCATTAGAGAAACACAAAACTACAATGAAATACCATTTTTTACCCATTAGGAGAGCCACTGTCCAAAAAATAGAAAATAACAAGTACTGACACAGATATGGAGGGATTGGAACCCCTGTGCCTAAGCGGTGATGTAAAGCAGCGCAGCCACATTGGGAAAAATACACTGGTGCCGTAGAAAACAAGACAAAAGTTGCCATGTGCTTCCGCAGCCCACTTCTTTTTTTTTTTTTTTTTTTTTTTTGTACCGGGGACGGAACTCACAACTGCATACGTGCAAGGCAGGTGCTTATGCCACTGAGCTAAATCCCCAGCCCCTTCAGCCCACTTCTGGTAAATATCCATAAGAATTCAAATCAAGATTTTATTTGATTTATTCCTTTTGAGATGGAGTCTTGCTGTATTCCCAAGTTGGCCTTAAGTTCCCAGGCCCAAGTGATCTTTCTGTTGCATTCTCTCAAGTACCTAGAACTATAGGCATGTATCACCATACCCACTTTAAAATAGGATTTTGAGTTGTTTTTATACCTGTGTTCATTGCCTAATTTTTTTACAATAGCCAAGAGAGGAAGCAACCCCAGATAATCCATCTACAGATAAATGGATAAAGAAAATTAATATATACATACAATGGAATAATCTTCAGCTTTTTAAAAAGGGAAATCCTCCCAGCACTTGGGAGGCTGAGGCAGGAGCCTCAAGTTTGAGACCAGCCTGGGCTACAAAGTGAGCTGAAGGCCAGCCTGAATTGTATTGTGAGACCATATCTCTAAATAAACAAATGGAAATCCTGTAATGTGTTATAATGTAAATGAACCTGGAGGAAAATTATACTAATTGAAATAAGCATATGATAACCAGGCTAGCAATATATAATTTTACTTACATGAGTTATCTTTTTTTTAAATACGAGTTATCTTAAACTCATAGGTACACTAAGTACAGTTATTATCAGGGCTCAAGGAAGCAAAAGATGAGATGTTAGCCAATTAGTACTATTTCTATTTTACAAAATAAAAAAGTTCTAGGTATTTTTTATACAATGGCATGAATATGATTAACAATACTAAAGTGTAGACTTAAAAAAAAAAGAGTTTATGTGACATGTTTTTAACAATATTTAAAGAATCCTATCCATAGCTTTTTTTTATTTGTTTCTGAGACAAGGTCTCACTATGTAGTTTCAGCTGGTTTTGAACTCACTGTGTAGCCCAAACTAATGATCCTTCTGGCTTAGCCTCCCAAGGTGTTGGGATCCCTGGTGTAGCTGCCACTCCCTGCTGCTGTCCCTAACTTGTGAATGGTGCTGAGAGGGCAGCCGACTGTCTTCATGTGATCATTGATTTTTTTTTGGTATGTCTGATAAGTAGGGGTGATGAAGACATCAAAAACCTGATAAATAATGGTCCTGGTTTTAAAGTTCTGTGGGCTGCTGTTTTATCTTTTTTTTTTGTCATTTTGAGACAGTTTCACTATGTAGCCCAGGAACTCTCAGTATCATGCTTTAGCCTTCTAATTGCTGGGATTACAGGCATGGCCTTTCACTTGCTTTTTGAGGCACTGGCTTTTTTTCTGTTGAATATTTTGTTTTCTTGTTTTATTTCAGAATGAAGTAAATATAATGAATATAATATTTTGAATTAATAAGTTTTTTTCTCCTTCAGGTGTGATGATGATCAGATGTCAAATGATAAGGAGCGGTTTGCCAGGTAATGTAATACAGTATTTTGGCCCTTGGTATGGGACCAGGCAGCCTATCCACACTGAATTTTAATTTTACCTGCATGAGAGTGAGTTTCTGTGTCCTATATATTTCCTGTTCCTGGTGGAACTTAGTAATGTTGTTGGCGTAGATGTTCAGGTAACATGGCTTCAAACCAGTCACATCTGTGTATCTGTGTTTGTCTGTTTATCTTATGCAGTGTTTTTCTGGGTATGTGATAACCTTAGGAGTGTGTTTGACAGCCATCCACAGGAACACAAACTATGGATTTCTTGATTGCATTTATTATAAAACTGTTATAGATAATGGAAAAGTCTGCATAGAGAGTGAGTTTATTCTTTACAGAGTGACCATAGGAAACTTTGTGGATATTGGAGTTTTGATTAAAATATACTTACATTTACTTAAATAACCTGTCAAAATGATGATACTTTTTATTTCACCTTTTATTAAGTAGGTAAATCTTTTTCAACTTGGTTTTCTTTGAGAAAGTTAATTTTTATTTGTAGCTATCTTAGAAAAATTAATAACCTTATTATTTGAAAGCACCCTTAGCTGAACGCTTAGTTCATTGCTGATATTGTCCTTGTGGGAACCACTTTGAGAACCACTGATGTGAATAAGAAATATCAGGCAGAGTAGTTTTTGAGCACTCTGAAACAGGAAGAATTTTGAGTTAGAGGTGGTTATATAAAGTAGTTGGTACAGATATTTCTGAGATGCAGCATACAGAATTGCAAAAGAAAAGGGCTATAGACAGGTAGTTATAAACTGCTCAAGTGAGACAGCTGTGAACTTAGGAGTGCCTGGTGGCTGTGGCAATAGGAAAAGTTTAAATATAAGAGGTTTTTAAAAAATAATTCACAAAAACAAAACAAAAAAATAATTCACAAACTGTGTGAAACATATAATTATAAATTCTTTATGATGTGAACCGTCTCTAAGATGAGAAAAGTTAATGATAGATATTTGAGGAATAGTTTTTCAAACTTAATTAAAAGGTAAAGCCATCTGTTTGTATGGATAGTACAAATTTCAAAGAGCCATGAAAACTTGAGCTATTTTAGTCTTAATTTATCCTGCTTAATGTGAATATTTATGTATTCATGTTTTTTATTCAGAAATATTTGAGTAGGTAAGAGATTATGGATCTGTAGCATTAGCAAACAACACAACTCATTCCTCTAATATGTGATTTGTTAAAGAAGTTTACTTCATATACCTTTGAGAATCTGATTAGAGTCTTCACAGGCTGAAAATTATGAAACCAAGTGTGGTGCATGCCTGTAATCCTAGCACTCAGGAGGACGAGGCAGGAGGATCACAGCAAGTTTATGGCCAACCTGGACTACATAGTGAAACCTTGTCTCCAAAAACAAAGATGAAAAACAACAACAACAACAAAAGCTGAAAATTACAAATTTTAATTTTTGAAAAAAAAAGTTATTTTAGTTTATTAAGGAATTATCTATTTAGAGCACAAACTCTAAATTTAATATCATTGAGCTTCTCATCATAATATATATGCATTTTTACTTTGTTCACATTGTTTTTATGTGATTTTGTGTGTCATTTTTTCTACTGATTGTTATTATTGGCACTTTTTCATGTATTGCTAAATTCTTTTTTGTTTTTTTTAATCAAGTTTTGCTGTGTTTCCCCGGGTAGCCTGAAAGTCCTGGGCTCAAGATATCCTCCCATATCAGCTGCCTGAGTAGCTGCGAGTACAAGTGTGTACCACTAGGCCTGGATTCATTGTCATTTATAATAGCTAAAGTTTTCAGCCTTTTAATGTGTTGTATTTTACTTAGAAATTTTATTTGAGCACACAGCACCTGCCTGGCAAGTGTGAGGTTCTGAGTTTCATTTCTGATACCCACCAAAAAAAAAAAAAAAAAAAAAAAAAAAAAAGAAAAAGAAAAAGAAATTTTATTTGAGTCTTAACTATTTATCTATGGAAAATACAACGAGGACTGATATACTGGTCTGGCAACATGTCGGATTTTTTTTTTTTAGTTGCCACTCCCCCTTTATAGTAATTTAGTTTTCTGGAAAAATTTAGTAATAATCCTTAAAGGAGGGAAGGGGAGTTGTGGTTATTCTGCAAAAAATGTCAAAATAACTGGATCAAAATCAAGAATAACTTTAGGAACACATCAGTGATAGAGAATATGCAAGAAATCTAGCTCCTAGTTGTAGTTACTCTGGTTGACTATTTGTGTATAAGTGTGTGTGTGTGTATGTGTGTGTGTTCAGGGAGAGATTGTGTTTGTGATCCCTTGTTATCTTTAATTGTTTTCATTATAGAATGGTACTCGTGAATAATCTTTCCAGATTGGGAGCAGTATATGAAAATGGTATTCCTCAGTTCCTTTGGTTGGTTCTTCAAAGTCTGTATATCCTTGGTCTTTACAGAGATTGATTGACACTAATGCTTTCTGTATTATTCTACCATATGTATTAGCTTTTTATTTGTGTTGATCTTTTGTCTTATAAGTTACTTTTTGTTTACCATAACAGATAACTTCGTAGATTACAGGCAAGGTACCTGCCCATATTTCCTTCTCTGCATCTGTCTGATTTCTTTGCTTTCTTCTTTATTTCTTCTTTCTTTCCTTTTCCATTTCTGTATTTATCCTCCCTCCCTCCTTCCCGCCCTTCCTTTTTATTTTAATTTTAGCTTAGTTCATTAATTCTGTTTTTAGGTCGGATGATGAGCAGAGCTCTGCGGATAAAGAGAGACTTGCCAGGTAGGAGAACAGTGTGTTTTAGCATGATGAAGCAGATGTTGCTGCTTTTCCTATCCTTTTTCTTACTCTCTCTTTTCTTTCCCTTTCTCTTTGTATTTTTCCCTATCTGTGGCAAGAGAGGACAAGATTTTTTAGAAGTTTGAGTGTTACAGGAACTTTGGCTTCCCCATCAGAAAGTGGGTGAGTTGAGGGAGCTTTACTTAGGAATTTAAGAAATTTTTATTAAACTATTTTATTTTCCTCTTTTTTTTTTTTTTCTTTTTCGGTTTTTTATCGGTACCAGGGATCGAACTCACGACCGCCTGCTTGCAAGGCAGGAGCTTATGCCGCTGAGCTAAATCCCCAGCCCCTTATTTTCCTCTTGATCGCAACACTTTCACAGAATTAAAAGGATTTAGAAATAATGGAGCTATGCCAGACTGTCAGAAAACCAATAAATGTACTGTAGTTACAATTAATTTCCAGTATTTAAACCTCAGGCATTTACTGTGTACCTCTCTAGAAAGCTCATTTATATTTTCCTGTGTAGACTCACAGCCTTACTATGTCACAGTAGAACTAGGGTTGCTTTGATGATTAAAACCTTGCAATTTACCAGAAAAAATTTTAGCTGCCTTGGTTTGGCTGTTTGTACTTCAGTATCAGAAATTTTTCAGCCACTAGGACAGTGGGAGCTTTTAAGTTTGAGAATAGAATTTTATGTATCTCAAGGAAAGTAACTAAAAATGAATGTATGTGACGACACCTTTCTGCCCTTAGGATTTGCTGTCATGTCAATCCAAACATCCTAACAGTCTTCCTAACAAAACTTATTCATCTTCATATGGCAAGCAAAGTGTTGCAGTGGGAATGAGGGTAGTTAAAGTCACTTAACTATGTGATCTCAATTTTCTCATCTTTTAAAAAAGATTTATATTAGATTAGTTTTTTTTTTTTAACAAAAAACTTTTGTTCAGATAGAATCCTTACGTGGTAATAGAAGGAAATAAATGTGACAAAGCAAAACTGCTGAAGTCGAAGCAGAAACACACCTGGTGTTAGATTCTTCTTAAGGCATCCCCATCCTTGTGGAGGACACTGTAGAACCTTCTGGGCTTTTCAGAATTCCTGTTCAAAAAAAATTCCTGCAGTTTTCCTCTTTACAGTGATGTCATTCTGACTCAGTTTTGAGGAATGTGGCTTATTTACCCTGGTGAGATCCAAATTGTCTTTTCAAGCTTTTAAGCATCCCTTTCACCATACTCCTATACCCCAGTTCACTTTGCCCCAGTCTGTCGACTCATATGGATGGTATCCTACAATCTCTTAAGTTCAGTACACTGGCCTTAGACCCAGATAAAGAAGGTAAGGCTGTGTGCATTAGTGCTACAAATAAAACTTCAGATTTGTCCAGTTCTGTCTTTTAATGTCAGAAGAGAAAAACTCAGAAGAAAGCAGTATTTTTTGACTAGGGGACCTATACTGTCATTTCTTATATCAGCTGTTGAGCAACATATTTGAACTGACAATAGGTGGTCGTTTTTTTCTAGTCTTTAAATAATTTGGTTAGAAGAAAAAGCCAGTTTAGTCAATAAACATGTAATCAACCAAGGTGAGATTATTTGTCTCTCAGGAACTAAATTCACTCAATATTTTTAGGTACTGTCATTTCTTATAATTTTTTTGTTGTTGTTCTGAGGGAACAGTAATTTATTTTTGTAGGCAGTGACGTTTCCAGGAGATAGATAGAGTTGTATCTGCTTGTTCTGTTTACCTTATTAGCTTCTGTTCCATGCTTGTTCTGCATGAGAAGTTGGCAAACCTTACTTTAACTGCTGAGACTTAAGCATCATTAAACCTAAATACTACATTCTTCAGCAGCTTAGTTGGTATCTATATTGCTCTCTCTGCTACCAAATGACCAGATGTGACCACCTGGATGGGGCTTCTTTCTCTCTTCATGCAGGGAAAATCATAGTGAAATTGAACGGCGGCGGAGGAACAAGATGACAGCTTACATCACAGAACTGTCAGACATGGTACCGACCTGTAGTGCGCTGGCTCGAAAACCAGACAAGCTAACCATCTTACGCATGGCTGTTTCTCACATGAAGTCGTTACGGGGAACGGGCAACACATCCACTGATGGTTCCTACAAGCCATCTTTCCTCACTGATCAGGTCTCTGGGGCTTGGAACTCTGAGAGCTTCTAGATCTAGTTGAATCTGTTGAAAATGTTGATTTTGGGCCTGGGATATAGCTCAGTAGCACAGTGCCTGCCTGGCAAGTGCAGGATCCTGAGTTTGATTTCTGGTACCAAAAAATAAAAAATAAAAAGAACTCACCTCAGAAAGAATGCACACCATGGAAAAATTAATTTCAGGCCTAGGCTGTCATATTAGTAGGTATTGGAGTGGTAAGAAGGAGAGAAAAGTTGTGGAAGCAATTTATTAAACTGATGGATAGAAACTTGCCTTATAAAACAACCTATGAGGTGGAAAAAGAAGAGTGGGATCCAGAGATGGATTAACAGGTCCAATGTATTAGTTCTTTTCCTTCACTTTAGAATTACTGTAAATCTTTTTCTGAGCCCTGCAGCAGCTTCCAGTTTTAGTGAAGGGAGGAGTCTAATAGGGAGCCACTGTTGCTCAAGAATGTGCTGTGTAACATTGATGTACTGTGAGACAAATGGAGAAGACAGAGTTACTTCCTGCCTTTCAGCCCTTCAGTCTGAGTTTAAATATGCAAGTGGCCGGTGTACACAAACTAAAAAATAATAAGATGCCTATGGCAAAGAAATATGTTTCCCCCATACTAATAATCTGTGTGTGACTAGATAAGTAGATACTAGAGGGATATCTAAAAAGCACTAAATGGCCAGACTTAAGTGGGGGTGGTTAAGGTGGAGAGGTCGTGTGTGTGTGTGTGTGTGTGTGTATGTGTGTGTGTGTGTGTGTGTGTGTGTGTGTTTTGAGACAGGGTCTTGCTGTATAGATTAGGCTGGTCTTTGACTCACTATAGAGCCAAGCTGGCCTTGAACTTGAGGCAAACTTGCTGCCTCAGCCTCTTGAGTGCTGGGATTACAGGTATATACTACCACACCTGGCTCTTAAAGACAGGTTATTGGTAAGTTGCCCAAACTGGACTGAACTGGAGATCCTACTGCTTTAATCTGCTGAGTAGTTGAGATTGGGTGTGTACCATTACTCCTGGCAATACATTGTGTTTTGATTGCAGTATTAAAAATAGCACATGATCACAGTAGAAAAGTATGAAAAACATAGGACGTATGAGGAAGAAAAAGCTTATGTTGTTGTACCATAATTTAAATGAAAGAATTAGAAGGAAGAAATACAGTTTGGGGGAAAGAAATAAGAATTCTTCAAATAGGATGATCTATTTAAAAACACATGTAGCACATTTCACAGCTGTATATATTGAGATAGTTAATTTAATTTACCAAACACCTACAGATTCTAATTGAACAGACTTCAGTTGTGTCCTTTTTGTGGGAAAGCCAGGTACTTTGTGCTGTGAAAAACATAAAGAATAATGAGATAGTCACTGTTGGAAATAGACATATAAATAAGTATATCATGAACACATAGTTTTACAATAAAGGTACAGAGATAAGGCTGGTGCACATGCAGATAAAGAAAATGAGTAGTATCCTAAATTTTTAAAATAACAGCAAAAACATATGAAAGCAATTGAATTATTCAAGAAAAGTCAAGTAATTTAGTATGTGTTGGGAGATGAAATAGGAAGGTAGGCTAAAACTTGATGATGGAATACTTAGGTATTATGTTAAAGAATTTTAAGTTTTAGGCAGTGAGAAGCCATAAAAATGTATGGATTGGAGAGAGTAAAAGCAATGAGAACATATTTAATGGCATAAGGTAACTGGCACAGTGACATAGCACTGCTAAATGGAGTTATTACAGAATGTGAGTGAGAACAGTTAGACTCTGAGGTTTCTAGTTTGGGAGGATATAGTTAAGAAAAAGCATGCCAGAAGAGCACAGAGGGCACTGTTTGGATGTGGGTGTGATGATTGTGATTTTTGAAGTGTTGAAACTGAGTAGCTGGTATAATATTAGTTTGGAACTTTTAACAGATACTTAGAAATCAGATTTGTTGAAAATTTAAGTAAAAAAAATTAGGCAAATCTAGGGATGTAGATTTGGGTATCATTTCATAGTGGAAAGGCGTGGATATGATTTCCAAGGAAGGTATGATAGAGAATAGATCATTGGAAAAAAAAGAAGAGAGAGAGAAAATAGGTCCTTGAAAATATCTGCATCAGGGCCGGGGATTTAGCTCAGTGGCATAAGTACCTGCCTGGCAAGAGTAAGTTTGATCCCTGGTCCCCCCACAAAAAAAAAAAAAAAAAAAAGGAAAAAAAAAAAAAAAAGAAAATGTCTACATTTAAGACTTGAATGAAGGAAAAGCCAAAAGTAAAGGAAGAAGCAAAATTGGAGTGGTGGCTGGTTGAAGCAGGTAGGAGAAAATATATAAGGAATATAATGGACAACACTGTCAGATTCTGAAAAAAATTGAGTTTAAAAAAGATGAAGACCCAGCCTAGGAAAAGGCATTTACATTAACAGTTTAGAAAACCTTTATAAACTCCTTTAAAAATTTTATACTATGGTATTAAGTGAAAATTGCATTGGGATTTACAAGTAAGTAAAAGATAAGAGAACAGAGGCTTTAATTACAAAATTATTCTTAGTGTACTATTGGCACTGAACATTCCAACCAAATTGAGGAACCAAGTGAGGAAGCATTGTATTTTTAGTTCTAAGAAGAAAGAAGGAGGGGGTTGCATATTTGGTGAGAAGATCCTAAAAAGAGACCAGAAAGGAATGGATCAAAAAGTCAGTTATTTTGCTGATTAGCCGTTTTATTCCCCTCTCGCATCCTGAGATAAAGAGGAAGAAATAGATAGTGACATGTGGAAATTGAGGAAATACTGGAAAAAAACTTGTCAATGAGAGTAATTACTTTAGGGTGGAAATCTGTTGCAGTGGATCTAGTATGAGCCAACAGTTGGTAATGGAGATAAACATACGACCTGAAGAATCATACTTCAAGTAAATAGAAATATTTGGGTTTTAAGAATTCAGTATTAATTTTTATTTCTTTTGTTTGGCCAGGAACTGAAACATTTGATTTTGGAGGCAGCAGATGGCTTTCTGTTTATTGTCTCATGTGAGACAGGCCGGGTGGTGTATGTCTCTGATTCAGTGACTCCTGTTTTGAGCCAGCCACAGTCTGAATGGTTTGGCAGCACACTATATGATCAAGTGCACCCAGATGATGTGGATAAACTTCGTGAACAACTTTCCACGTCAGAAAGTGCCTTGACAGGTGAGTTGTGTGGATGGAAAATGAATGGGAAGTCCTTTCTTTTGTATTTTTCTGATGCATAAAAGCTCTTAAATTAGTTTTTAAAATCTGTAGTATTTCTAGATTCTCTCAATATAATAAGTCCTTTTTATCCATATTCAGCTTACCTACTTTGTGACTCATTTTAGATAAGGATTCATTAATGATTATGTTAATATAAGCATTTTTTTTGGGGGGGGTACCAGAGATTAAACTCATGATCTTGCACTTTCCAGGCAGGCACTTGTGCAACTGAGCTAAACGCCTGGCCCTAAACATTTATTTTTAATATTATTGTAAATAAAAGAGTAAAATCTAACCTTATAGTAAGTCTTCTTTTTTTCCTCCTGCACAAAAAAGAATCATCTATGCTTCTACTTCATTTGTATGAATAAATTACCTCATATTTTTTCTATCTACTTGTGATTGGCTTTGTGCTAGGTTCTCGGATAACAGATTTTTATTTTATGGGGGAATGGCTCATAGTCAATATATATGGTGTTTTTGCTGCCTGCCTGTGTGGCTGCTGTTGGCTGGGCTGTCTCCTTCTCCTTTTCCCTTTCCTTCCTCCCTGCTCCTTTCCATCCTGCCTGCCTTCTGTCCTTCATTTCATAAACATGCTATTATCTCTACTCCCCACTTCCCTTTTAATGTGATCCAGTTCTTTTGCCAAAACTTGACTGGAGGAAACAAGTTATATCTGTTCCTAAACAACTGTAGAAAAAGTTTTAAAGTGGGAGCAGTTTAAAAATGGTAGTTAAAATGCAGAAACTCAGTCACATATTCCCTTCTCAAGCGGGATTGGTGGGGAGTGCCTGACCTGCGTGACGCTGCTGACTAAGACCCAGTAGGCTAGCCCAAACCAGGTCCCAGCGCCTGGAGGTGAACCCTAGCAGTGAAGTCTTCTGTAGGTTGACCTGGAGGGGTGGGCCCAGCATAGGCTGCCCAGGTCTGTATCTCCCTAGTGCACTGCAGTGGGTGGGAACACCTGGCCGGCGCAATTCAAACAAACTGTAACCAACAAAGAAAGAAACTGGGCCTCCTATATACAAAAAATATGGGAAGAGGGAGCAACAAGAAAGGGTCCTCGGCCCCCAATCCTGAGAAACATGCAATAGCAGACACACCACCAATAGACATAAAGCGCTATCTCCAGAGCCTCATAGACAAGTTCAGGAATGAAGTTATTAACGACCTGAAGCAAAATATAAGTAGAATAGTTAGAGAAATACTAAGCACTGCCCAAGAAAAAACAGATGGTGGAATGGAAGAACAGAAAAAAAGGGGAGAATTGTTTGGTGGAGAAAGTAGAGAAAACATAGAATACGTGGATCCTGGTAATCAAAGAGATTACCAGGAAACTAAAAACTCTATCGAAAACTGGCATAACAACTTGAAAGAAACGAAGGATAGATTATCTGAACTGGAGGGCAAATTTGTAATATGGGAGCATGAAATGAAAAACTTCTTAAAAATAACAAAAAACCAAACAGCAACAATACAAAGGCTAGAAGATGATAAGAGAATCGATAACTTAAGAATTAAGAACATAAAAGAAGTAGGGACACAAACAAATGGACTACAAAAGCTATTCACAGAAATAATCCAAGAGAATTTCCCTAATTTAGCAAAAGGTAAAGATATTCAGATGTATAAGGCATACAGGACCCCAGTAACCTACAACCCAAACAGAGCTACACCCAGGCATATAATAATCAAAATTCCAGAAATCCATTATAAGAACAGAATATTAAAACCGTCAGAGACAATAAACAGATCACTTACAAGGGAACACCCATCAGAATTACAGCAGACTTCTCGGCACAAACCATCAAATCACGAAGAGCGTGGGGGGAAATAATTCAAGCTTTGAAAGATAATAACCTCCAGCCAAGATTGATATATTCTGCACAATGGTCCCTAGAAATTGATGGAGAAACAAGGTGCTTCCAGGATAAAGAGGAACTGAAGGAATTTGCAATCACCAATTCAGCTCTACAGAGAATACTGCAGGATATTCTAAAAAAGGAAAATACCAAGATTCCAGAAATAGTGGCAGAGAGGCCACAATGAATGGAGCAGAAAGCAAAATGAAGAAGACAAACTGACAACAAACGACAGAAAAGAGCTCAACAGAAATGAGGCAGAGAAGATGGGATGGTAGGAACAGCTATTTTGGAGACAAGACATCGTAATAGCTAGTGCTGATTTAGTATCATCTTGTTTTGAAGTCCCATCAAACTTGTATTCTTCTGTCTCCATCGGTCTTAAAAGGTTGTATCTTACTGGATTTTATTATATATGATAATATAAGCAAAAACTTTTATAGACAAGGAGATTATACAGAAACCATTGTTCATCTTCTGTTAATTGGTTCTAAATACCCTGTAATAATGTCATTCTCTTGAATGGTTTTATAGTGTCTTGATACGTTTGGTGCTACAGTATACGAAGTTATACTCAAAGATTTCAAGAAAAGAGACAGTATGGTATAACTATTTTTATGTCAGGATATCTTGTGGTGAAGCACTATTTTGCTTAAATGGTTATGTTTTGACTTGAGCTGTTCTGTTTTTATGCCCTCTTTTATCTCAATCCCTTTTTTAAAAAGTTACTTTTTTCTTTTTCTTTTTAATTAAGGGAAAAATAAATTAAAATAGCAGGATACATTATAGTAACCTACTTTGATTTCCTGTTAACTTAATTTGAAATCCTGTATTGCCCTCACCATCTTGTTTTGATTGATTTTCCCCTATTCTGCTTTGCTTGATAGTACCAAGTTTGAAAGTATAGGCAAAACTGTGAAGATAATGAGATTCATTATGACGCCCATTCCAGTTGACTATTAGCTTCTTTTAAAGTCCTGTAATGTCTCCAATGCTTTGGTTTTAGTCTTTACTGTTTTGTTCAATTTTATTATAACTGGCAGTTCTTCTTAAAATAGCAAGAGGCAGTATGATAACCATTGTTGATCACCTTGTATTTTGTTTTTACATTATCTGTTATGTCCATCCTTTTGATTTGACTGACTCTGTTCTAATATGTCGCATTTGGTTTTACTCTCTTCAAAAAAAGTAATAAGAACTGTGGGAGTAATAAAACCCAAAATGTGTAATTGTCATTGTACAAAAGAAAAGAAAAGAAAGTGCTCTAAAGGTTAAAGCTGCATATATATTTAAGTGTATAAGATAGAAAACTATATTACTGAGTTTTTTTGAATCATTGAACAAAACTACACTCTCACTGTTTGAAAGTCCACTTTATATGCTTCAATTTTGTAACTTGAACAACTGTTTCTAAGATGAGAGTATGTAATCTATTAACTAGTGATTTCTTACTGTTTATTTTTTAAGTTTTGTATTACTTGTACCCTTTTTCTGTTTTTTTCTTTTTCTCCTTAAATTAAAAAAAATGTAAAAACTTCAATATGATCATATTAGTGTTGATCATTTGTTTTCCCCTCTTTTACCTTTTATGAATTTTGTTTTTTCTAGTTCTTCTTTTTCCTCAAAAGTTGCCCTTGATTTCCATAAAGGACAGAAATAGCTTTGTTTTGAGACTGATGTGTGTATGTTTTTTCTTTTATTATGTGTTTCTGTAGCATACTCCTACCTTTCCTTGCATAGTTATTTTCCATGCTGCCTTTGAACTTACAGTGAGATTCTTAGATTAGATTAAAATACTTTAGGCTTAAAAAAAATCTGTTTTCTACTTGGCCTGTTCTCATAAGGAGGTTAGAGTATATGAATGGGATGCCTCCTTATCCTTGCCTCCAGTATTATTCTCCCACCCCACTCAAAAGAACATGCTTCAGATTGCTCTTCCCATCCTTCTTTAGGGCGTATCCTGGACCTAAAAACTGGAACAGTGAAAAAGGAAGGTCAGCAGTCTTCCATGAGGATGTGTATGGGTTCAAGGAGATCATTTATTTGTCGAATGAGGTGAGTGTCAGGCAGAGCATTGTGATTTGGAATAGGAACAATCAAGAGTCAAGCTTTTTTATTTCCTTCAGAGGAATTAGCTTTTTAAATCCAAGTTTCAACTGGATTAAATGTAATTTTCAAAACCCAGATGAAGTAACATAAAATGTTTGGTTAGGGATCTCACATTTACTGAACATGTCTTATATCAGATAATGCAATAGGTGCTTTATGTCGTCTTATTTCATCCCTACAGCCGCCCTGTGGAGTAAGGTTCCTAGTTACCATTTTGCTGATTAAAAAGTGATTCAAAGCAGTTAATTTTTCAAGATTCCATTGGCAGAATTTTGTTATAATCCATAGTAGTCTGATTATAAAACCCAAATTTTTTCCCTTTATATCTCCAAGCAGCATCTGTATACTGAGACCATTTCTATATCATTATTGTTATTATTAGGTAAGAAATTTAAGACAAAGATCTTTACGTCTTTAAATTATTATTTAGTGTTTATGAATTATATGCTATAGTGTACATTTTAGGGTTCTGCAGAAAGGATGATGGTCTATTCTACATAGGTGGAAAAGTCATCTCTCAGTGTTGGGGGTGTACTTCAAATGGTAGAGTGTGTGCCAGGCATGTGGGAGGGGAAAGAGAAGGGAAAACATTCACTCTCTCCCTCTGCCCACTCTCCAACCCCCAGTCCCTCTCTTCTCTTTTCTGACTCCCACCCAAGTCCTCACATGGGCTAGGCAAGCACACTACCACTAAGCTATCTCTTGGAAAGGTCTTTCTTAACTACAGTCACAAAGTAAGTTCAGGTTGTATTCTAAAGTCCAGCTACATTATACTGAGAAGATGCTTAATACAGATGATAGGTAGAATATTAAGGGGCTGAGAATTATGGCATACACTTATAATCCCGTACTTGGAGGCTAAAGCAAAAGGGTTGCAACCAATTCAAGGCCAGCCTGAGCTACGTAGTGAGAGCCTATTGTGAGAAACCCAAAACCAAACAAACAAAACCAAAACCAAACAAAAGTAAAAAAGAAGAAAAAAGACAAAGGTTTCCTGGAAAAGGTAGAAAATTGTGTTAATGCTTTAGAGTAGTCCCTGGATCTGACTGCTGGATTGTGTTTGAATCTATACTATTCCGTGGATTCGAATTCCAGCTTTGACATCTTCTGAAACCTTGGACAGGTTACATGAATTCTTTATGCTTTGATTTTATCTTGTAATGTTGGAGATGATACTAATATTGACTTCATAAAGGTATGATGGTTAGATGAGTTAATGTGAAGATATTTAGAACATAGCACATATTGAAGTCTATGCAAGTTTTTTTATTGGTTTTATTTTAAAGAGATGAGGGGGGGAAAGTAAAATTGGAGAGAATGTCCCAGCATGTGGGTGTGGCTAATGTAAAGAGGTAGGCAGGAGCAAGGTTAGTAATAATGAAATATAGGGATACATCAGGGTTCCCATAAAGCAGGAGTCAACAAAGCATATCTCTTTGTAAATAAATTTTATTGGAACATAGCCATGCTCATTCCCATATATTTCCTATGGCTACTTTCACACCATAATGCCAGAGCTCATTACTTACAATAATGGATTGTAGGCTCACAAAGCTGAAAATATTCACCTTTTGATCCTTTACAGAAAAGATTGAGAAGCTTGATCAACTTTGGATGTAGAGGATCTCTGCTTTTGCAGAGCATATGAGATAACACTCCTATGACTACCATACAGCACTGAGCTGTATCTCCAGCCCCTTTTATTTTGAGACAAGTTGTCACTAAGTTGCCCACAAAGGACTTGTGGTCTACCTGTTGCCTTGGCCTCTCAGAATATAGACATGGGCTGCTGCAACAATTTGAGGCCAGCGTGGGCTACAAAGATTTGGGCTGTGAAACAATTTTTAACTTCAAATTCTAGGATACTTTTAAGTTTTAGAAATACCAAATCTGACTTCACCTTTGTCCTTTTTCTTGTTAGGAACATTGTTAGGAGTGTTCTGTGTCTAATTGTACCCAAAGCAGGTTGTCCTGTTCTTACTAAGAAAAGTTCATTGATAATGTAGCGTAACTTTTAATCTCCTTGTTCTTTAAAATAGGTGTGGTAATAGCTCCGTGGACCCAGTCTCCATGAACAGATTGAGCTTTGTGAGAAATAGATGCAGGTAAGCAGTAAAGACCAAAGGGATGGTAGAGAGCATCCCTTTGTCATCTAACTTACTACAGCTCTGCCTTTAGCAGCTTTCATCTTCATCCTTTACGTCATAGTTACTTTTTTTTCTGGAATATTTTCCTAAGATTTAAATCTTTTCTTGTTTGTCCTGCTTACCTATTTTCCTCGTGCTTCAGTCAGTACCATTAGTTGTTTTACTTGGCAAGGGTTGAAAATATGGTCTAAGTATTTTTGATGATCTAGTTAATTCTGTTTTCATTTTTATTTGTTTGGTTTGTTGGTATGGGATTTTATTCCTTTGGTTTTATTTATTTATCTATTTTTGGTGTCTTGAGACAGAATCTTGCTAGGTAGTTCAGGCTGGCCTTAAACTCCCTGTGTAACCCCAACTGACCTTGAATTTGCAGGGATCCACCTACATCAGCCTCCCAGGGGCTGGGATTTCAGGTGTGTACCACCATGCTTGGCCTATTTTCTAAACACTCAAGAGCGGAAGGTCAAAGGCAGCATTTCTTTTGTAGTGTTTTCTCCCTGACTTTTGTAACTCTTCTAGGAATGGACTTGGATCTGTGAAGGATGGAGAACCTCACTTTGTAGTTGTCCACTGCACAGGCTACATCAAGGCCTGGCCTCCAGCAGGTAGGAAAGTTCTTCAGAGAGCCCAAGAAAGTTATCAGCATTTAGTTGTTACATTTATTGTGTAGCTGGTATATGAAATGTAGTTGGTTTAAGTTGAAAAAAAGCGAGATAAAGACATCCTCACATCCATTATTGGTTTTATTATATTCTAGTTGGGAGATGGGTTGCTAAAACTTGAAAATGACTCATTATTGGTTATATTAGAGAATATGGGTTTTTGTTTTTGCTTTTGTTTTTTTGGTATTTTTGAGACAGACTGTCTTGCTGTGCAGTTCACGCTGGCTTTGAACTCACCTTTGTAGCCCACGCTGGCCTCAAATTCCCAATGATCCTCCTGCCTCAGCCTTCCCAGTACTGGGATTACAGGTGTGAGCCACCACACCCAACTGAGAGCGTAGTTTTTAAAAATACTTAAAATTTCGTCTTTAAAAGTAGTGTTTCTGTGTTGTTCCATTAAACTCTTGGGCCAAGCAGTTCTCCCTCCTCGGTTTCCCAAGTAGCTGGATCCACACATGTGTGCCACTGTGCCAGGCTTAAGAGAATACTTTTTAAATGTGACAGTTCTTCGTAATATGTACTGAATGCCTATGTTCTAAGCAGTTGTTGCAAAGAAACATTAACATTTAATACAATTAAGCAATAGTGGGAAGATGACTTACTTGTAATTACTGATAAAGATGATAGTCCCTGCAAAGACTCTGAGTCAAGCTAAAAGCAGACTAGCTTTATTTGAACTTGAGGTCTTATTTAAATATGAGAGGTGGTTGCGGCTTAGAGATCAGCTTTTTAAAAGATTAAAAAATAACTTACAGGAAACAGGGAGATAGACCTTATGGCTATGGGAGGGGAATCCAGGAATAGGAGGAGAAAGAAGGGGAGTGTCGGGGAAGATACAGTAAAAAAGACGGAGATACAGCATGTATACGTGCCAGTTTGCCATGGTGAGTGTGTTTACCGTGTATCACAGAAATACACTAGTAAAAAGTGGGAAGAAAAAAGTTAAATTCACTTGCCATAAACTTCTATATCTTACCACCTCTATTTCTCCCATGTTTGATGGGCATTATTGAAAAGTAGAGATTTTGGGGAGACAAAAACTAAAAGAAGTTAGGTAGTATATATAATAAAATATATAATATATAATATATAATATATAATATATTTTTAAGAAGACATTAAACTTTTATTTGGAAAATCTGTGTTTGAGTTCTGGCTTTTTTTTTTTTTTTCTAATGATGCAACCTAGAGTAAGTTGCTTAACCTTTTTCTTATCTTTAATTTGGTGATAATATATCCTATATGGAGTAACTATGAATATTAGATTTAATGTAAGGAAAGCATCTCAGTGCCTGGTATATGACATGAAAAATTAAAATAGTGTAGGTAGTGACATTTGAACTTTTTAGTCTATATATTATACAAAATTATATTTGAAGTATATGTGCTCTTTTATGATTTTGTATGACTCTCAGGGAAATAACTAGTTTTTTGGATAAAAAGAAGATAACTATGCAAAGAATAGAGGAGAGTATATACTTCCCTTTCTATATGTAGAACTTCTGTCTTCTCCAATGGTCATAAAGAACTATTGGTGTTTGTTCACTTACTTTAAAAATCATAGGTTTGGCAAGACATCTATCTGTCTGTGATGCAGTCACAGAAAATTTGCCTTTATGTGTGATTTGGCCAGTGTGGTTTTTAGATTTCTTTGGGAGGAATTTGTACTCCCTAGTTTATTATAGTTTACATGGGTTAAGTATATTAGTCTTTATACAAACACATATTTACAGGTAAAACACATACGGTAAATTCTGTGTAATTGTTTATTGTTACCATTCATCATTCTCTTGCTGTATCCCTAGATTCTTCATACTTAAAATGCGTTTTGAATCTTAACTCACCTGACTTTTGAAAACTTTCATGAAATGTCTTATTCCTTTCATCTCACCTTCCTAAAGGTGTTTCCCTCCCAGATGATGACCCAGAGGCTGGCCAGGGGAGCAAGTTTTGCCTGGTTGCCATTGGCAGATTGCAGGCAAGTGTGATTTTTCCATATCCTTGTCTCTTCATTTAGAAGAACTTTCCTTGAGAACTTACTCATGTTAGTTTTCTTTTACTAGTTGAATACAAATGGAGAATTTCATAAAATTCTGAACATTTGAGGAAATACAGTGTTCATAGTGAACATTGCTCCTCTTCAGTTTAGCAAAACTTGAAGAATGTGAAGAGAGAATTCTTTTCCTCTTATCTTTTTGTTAATAATGGGTTCTGCTATGTCGCCAAGCCTGGTCTCGAACTTCTAAGTTCAAGTGATCCTCCTTTCATAGCCTCCTGTAGCCTGTTCCTATCCCCTCTTCATTTTAGTTTTATAATGCTAAAGTTTCTATTTGTAGTTAATCTCCCTCTACTTCTTTTCCCTTCGTTACTGGGGATCCAAGGCCTTCACACTAGCTATATCCCTAGCCCATTAAGAAAAACTTAAAAAAAAAAAAAAAAAAAACTCGAGACAGGATCTTGTTAAGTTGTCCAGGCTGGGCTCAAAATTGGTGAACTTCTTACCTCTGCTGGTCATTACAGGCAGAACATCATCCTATAATCTAGCACTGCTAGGATTACAGACATGTAGAATCATGTTAATCTAGGAAAAAAAATCCCTTTTATCATTGCATAACTAATAGTAGGCAAGTGGAATTATTTTGAGTCTTCTAAGCAAAGATAAGTCTCTTGGTTACTTAAACTGTAATTTTCCTATGTAGATAAGATAGTCAAATAAAAATAAATGGGCTTTGAGTTGAATTCATTTTTTGTTTACTAATTTGTTAAAAGGCACATAAGTAGGAGTAAAGCTGACTTTTATCTGATTGTGATTACTACTTTTTCCCTCTTAGGATGAGATGTGAAAGTTTAGAAATTCTTGCAACTAAGAGTCTTCATACTATGTAAATACCTATGAGAAGGTCCAAAATACATCTATAAAGAATGGCATAATTTCACTTAACTTTTATCTCTCCACTCTTAGGTAACTAGTTCTCCTAATTGTACAGACATGAGTAATGTTTGTCAACCGACAGAGTTCATCTCCCGCCACAACATTGAGGGGATATTCACTTTTGTGGATCACCGTTGTGTGGCCACTGTTGGCTACCAGCCACAGGTGAGGAGCTGCAACTGTTCCATCACCCACCCTTAGGCCTTTGTTTTCCCTTGCCAATGTTGAGGTTACATAATTATGTATTTCTAGAAATAACCAAAGCATATCAGCTCTAGTTCAGAAAAATAAATAGTCTTAGTCTATCAGTAGCTAAATTTATTCTTTCTACCAAGAGTATTATTTCCTCTGGAGAAATATGGTTTGTAGAAGCAGAAGGCACAAATATGTATTCATTTTTGTTGCTGTCAAGTGCTAATTTTTTAACATTTTAAAGTGATTATTCTAATTGATTATACTGATATGATGACCTAAAGGAATAGTAACCTATAAAATACACAAATTTACCATTGTTATAACTTATCCACTTGACAGACCTGTTAACTATCCCTTAATTGACTGATTAAACTTTCATGACTGTCAGTTGAGTGTTGTGACACATACCTGTAATCCCAGCACTCAGGAGGCTGAGACAGGAAGATTATTGTGAGTTCAAGACCAGCCTAGGTTACAGAGTGAGATCAAGGCCAGCCTGAACTGCATAGTGACACTCTGTCTCAAAAAGACAAAAAACAAAACAAAACAAAAAAACTGTCAGTGCTGTAGTGATACTTAGGGCTGTAACAATGTGAGATGATCGGTAAGTGAAAGACAAAGTTGGAGGACTTATACTACCTGATTGAACACCTGGTTACAAAGCTTGTTATAAAGACAATGTGCTATTAGTGTTAGGATAGATATTTTGGTCAACAGATTAGATTTTTACATTTATAGTCGGTTGATTTTCAGCAAGGTGCCAAGACAGTTCATTGCAGAGCTGTTTCCAACAAATGCTGGAACAATTGTACATCCATTGTAAAAAATCCTTATGTGTTACCTCACACTACATAGAATCACCTAAAAGGACAAAATGTTTAAAAGTTAATTACAAGTAAACTTCCGGGAGAAAATCTTTTTGGTCTTAGGCATAGATTTTTCATATGATACTTAAAAATATGACACACAAAGTAAAAAAAAACCTTTTTTTTAGTAAAAATATTGGTACATTTAATTTCATCAAAATTAAAATTGCTCTCATGAAAAGGTATCATTAAGAAGGTAATTCGCTGTCATGGCTTTCCTCAGGATAGCTTATAGTGTGTCCTCTCGGGTATTTTTTATCTTGCTTTTTCTTTTTACTTGGCCCACGCTCACTCAGGAGAGCCAGTTTCTTCTTCACTCTTGTCTTTTACTTTTTGAGATACACTTTTCTATTGTTTAAAAAACAAAAACAGGTGTAATGGCATGTGCCTGTAATCCCAGCACTCAGGTGGCAGAATGACCTCTGTGAGTTTGAGGCTGGCCTGAGCTACATAGTGAGACTGTCTCAAAAAGCCAACCCTCTCTCCAAGGAAGAAGACAGTAAAAAAGATCAGATACAAACTGAGAGAAGATATTTACAAATCATACATCTGGAAAAAGGATTTGTATCTGGAATATATAAGCAACTCTTAGAACTTATTAAGACAAGCACCTAGTAAAAAGGGCACAAGATCTTTCACTAAAGAAATATGAATGGCACATAAACGTCGTCATCATTCATTATTAGGAAAGAGCAAATTAAAATCTCAATGAAATACTATTATATGGCCACTAGAATAGCTACCACCAAAAAATGTTGAGAATGAATAGAAACTAGATGCTTTATACATAGTAAAAATGTAAGATGGTATAGCTTGTTTATCAAAACATTTTGGCAGTTTCCTTAAAAGTTAAACCTGTACTTAAAACCTGGCAGTTTTACTTTTGATTATCTACCAAACAAGTGAAAACATGTTCATACAAAGATTTATACACAAATGTTCATAGCTGTATCACTTAAAATAGCCAAAAAGTGAAACAACTTAAATGCTCATAAAAAAGGAATAAAAAGAATAAAGTACTGATACATGCAACAACATAGACTAATTTCACAAATGCTAGACTGGGTGAAATAAGCCAGAACCAAAATACTACATATGTAATGATTATGTTTGAAATTTTTAGCAGTGGTAAAATAAAAAGAGGCAAAAAACAGATGAGTGATTCGCTGAAGGGTACAAACAAGGATTGAATGAGTACATATGAGCTTTGTATAAAGGAATTTTTTGTTCCAGTGAACATGTTATAAAACTAGATTGTAGTAATGGTTGTACTATTAGGAATGGTCAGTTATATACTTTAAAAGGATGAATTATAAATGTAAGTTGTACTTTGTCTGTACTAAGTGCTATTAAAATAAGTATGTGGTATTCTGAAAAAGGGAAATGTGCCAGAAGCCAGGTATGTAACAGAGTTCATCTTTTTTGTCTTTTTTTCTTTGCCTTCACACTTATTTATAATTTTAGGATTAATACAGGAGAAATAAAATCCAGTTCCCAGGTAATGAACAGAACAAGTTAGATAAGCATAAAAGTGTAGATTGTATCATCCTCTTTTTTATCTCTTCTAGGAACTCTTAGGAAAGAATATTGTAGAATTCTGTCATCCTGAAGACCAGCAGCTTCTAAGAGACAGTTTCCAACAGGTGACTTTTGTTTTTCTGGTTTAAATCTTAAGCTACATTTCTGTGTGTTTATCACATTACACCATGCTTATGTTAGCACTGATTAATTGAGTACTGTGGCAGGCACAACAGTTTTATGTTCTTTATACTTAGATAATACTTACAAATTATGGATGAAATCAAAGTAGTTTCACTTATTTATTTGTTTATTTATTTTTGAGACAAGATATCACTGTGTAGTATAGGCTGGCCTTGAACTTGCTATATATCCCTGTATATCCCAGGCTGGCCTCAAATTTGTGGTGATCTTCCTGCCTGAGCCTCCCAAGTGCTGGGATTAGAGGCATGTGGCACCAAGCCTGGCTTGTTCAAGCGGTTTGGGCTTTGGCTAATTACTGTTCTGTATCCAACTAGTTTTACCCAAGGAACTATCTTTAAACTATGTAAAATATCTAGAATTTATTAATCTGTGGGGTACAGTAGAAACATTTATTTTCCAAATTTCTTTTATAGATAATTGACAGTTTAAAAATATTTGGTGAATTTAATAGACTTAGCTTTAGATAACAGCTTTTGTTAGACAAGTTAATTAACCTCTGAGTCTCTATAGAATCCTTATAGATACAGTAGGGATAATAATAGCACTTATATTCAGAAAGTAGTTGGGAAGTTTAAATAAGATAATGCAAATAAGGCACATAGCCCCAGTGGTTGACATGTAATAGTAGTATATTTATTTGCTGCTGTTAGGAAATATAAAAAGATTATTTTCGGGGCTGGGGATTTAGCTCAGCGGCATGCCTTGTAAGCAGGCAGTCATGAGTTTGATCCCTGGTACCGATAAAAAGGCAAAAGGCAAAAAAAAAAAAAAAAAAGATTACTTTCTATTTCATGCCACAAGAAACCTAAAATTACTTTGTGTGCAGAAGATTACTTTTATAAAGCAAAAGTAAAATTGGACTAAAACTTTTATTTTACTCATACTGGGTACTGTGAAAATAAATTCTCAAATCTAGGAGAAAAACTAGGTTGGAAGAGTAATACACAAGCTATTTTCAGTGTCATTAAACTTAAATTTCTGATTTAGATTTGTAAAGGTAGCTCAACATTTCTTTAATAAACTTTTCAACAAAAATGAGGGAACTAGCACTGTCTCTTGGAAGTAATTGTTTTTCTTTTTTAACTAAGATGATCAGATCACACAGGACTCTGGGAAGAAAAGTGATAAATACACTTTTTCCTTATTTAGTCACCTAGTTTTTCCTGACTTGGTATTTTGGTTGGTTGTTTTGAGTTTTTTGGGAGTGGGGTTTGGTACTGGGGATCAAACCCAGGGCCTGTGCACTCTAGGTAAATGCTCCACCACTGAGCTACATCCACAGCCTTCTTGTGTTGTCTTAACATTGAAAAAGACAGGTGCTTCAGGGAAAACACCACAAGAGGCTTAGGGTTGTAGAAAGGTAAAATTTTTATTTAATGGGAGGGGTTTTTTTTCCCCTGAATTCCACTGATAGTTTGAAAACCTTTTTAGGTGGTGAAGTTAAAAGGCCAGGTGCTGTCTGTCATGTTCCGGTTTCGGTCTAAGACTCGAGAATGGCTCTGGATGAGGACGAGCTCCTTTACCTTCCAGAACCCTTACTCAGATGAGATTGAGTACATCATCTGTACCAATACCAATGTGAAGTATGTACCCTTCATCCCTTTTCCAGGGTTGGCATTTTTCACATGCTAAATCTGCTTAGCCTTACAAAGCTATTTCTGGTGCTGGGGGTATAGCTCAGTGGCATGGTGCCTGCCTGGCAAGTGCAAGGTCCTGAGTTCAATTCCTGGTTCAAAAAAAAAGCATGTGATAAAGCTGTTTCCTTCTTTTCTAGTACTAAAAACTTGCCATTTAAAGTTCCTTCTTTTCCATCTTACAGGATTTGATACAGTTGATCAAAGTAGAAAAAGATTTTAATAAACGTTAATCCAGAGTATGTCTTTAGATGCAAGGATTTGTTTATAAATTTCAGTGTTATGATCTTGTTTATAACCAATGTATTGTTTTAGTCTGTCAGAATTTTTATCTAGAGCCAGAATTGGGCAAACTCTTTCTGTAAAGGACCAGGTAGTAGATATTTTAGACTTTGTGGGCCATACCATCTAGATTACAGCTATTGGACTGTGATATTTACAGCTTGAACATATTTATAGAGAAATTAAGTTAACATGGCTTTGTTCCCATAAACCTTTATTCGAACAGGCAGTGAAATGGATTTGGTCTATGGACTATGATTTGCCTTAGACCACAGTTATATCCCATCCTCTTAGTTTCTGTTCCTTTGTTTGAGATTTCTTTTTTATCTTTTAAAAGATTGTTCATTAAGATACATTTCACATGCTGTACAGTTCACTCAATGAAAGAGTATACTGTTTTAGTGTATCACACAATTGTTTAATTATTGTCACAATCTGATTTCAGCACATTTTCATTCTTGCTAAAGAAATGTGATTCACTGCTGGGTATGGTAGCACATGCCTGTAAACCCAACATTTGGAAGACAGAGGCAAGATGATCCCTGCCAGTTCAAGGCCCTCATGGGCTACATAGTGAGTTCAACACCAGCCTAAACTACTTATGGAGATCCAGACTCAAAAAAAAAATTAGTAACATCATTCTCCATTCTCTCCATTTTCTTTAAAGCCTTCTAACAACCTCTTAATTTACTGCCTCTATAAATTGTCCTTTTCTAGACATTTCATTTAAGTAGAATCATAGAATAAATCGTTCCTTTGTGACATTATTGTAACGTGTGGAGTATATCAAAGGTCACTCATGTTACAGCATGTATCAGTTCTTGATTTCTTATTTCCAAGTAATACACCATTGTGTGCCTTAACACATTCTGAATGCTGTTGTAAACATTGCCATACTAGTTTTTATATGAAAATCTGCTTTTATTCTTCTTACTGTATACCCAGGGGTAGAATTGCTAGGCTGCATGGTATGTTAGCTTTCTGTTGCTGTGGCCAAATAACCTGAGAAAAGCGCAGGAAGAAAGATTGATTTTACCTCATAGTTTCAGAGGTTTTGCCCTGAGTTTCTATTCGCATGCAGCTTATAGCATTTTAGGACTGCCTCCAAACCTTTGCAAACTTCCCATAATCCATTCCAAAGGCTTTTGAACCATATAGTCAGGTACAATCACAATAAAAACCCTGTTTATTTCGTACCAATATCTAGCTTAGTTATCTCGTTGCTGAGACAAAATACCAAGCACCCAAAAATTAAAGGAGGAAAGGTTTTGCTTTGTTTTGTTTAGGTTCATATTCTATAGAGGTTTCAGTCTATAGTCAGCTGGCTCCAAGGCAGGGTGGTATGGCAGAGAGGCATTGCAGGGAGAGCAGTAATCCATAGCAAAGTAGAGCAGGCAAAAGTCAGCAGAAACAGCAGTAAAGAAGCAATGAGCAGTAGCAGCCAAACTTGCCTTCATGTTTGATCCAGGCTATCTGCCTGTAACCCATGTCCAGGTTGGGTCACCCATAGCTCTAGCATTACACATCCTGGATCCAGCCACTTCTGAAATCCCACCTATGACTGTACGAGGCTTTGGAGGGGGGCATCTAGACATAAACCTATACTGCTATAATGATTATCAGTTGTCAGGTTACCTCTTCTCACCATTTAAGCCACTTTGGTAGAACTAGTTTTGAATCTATTTCTTGAAGGTCTGATTATGAATAATGATACCTGGGATAATAGTATTATTCCATTCAACATTTAGGGGTCATGAAGTTTAGTTCTTTGCTAACAGTAAAGCATGGTACACAGAAATTTTTATTAATTTAGAACTCAAATATATGTCTTAATCATTGTTGTTTGTGGTATTGAAGTTGGAACCTAGGGCCTCACACATGCTAGGCAAGTGCTCTACCCACTGAACCATCCCCAGCCCTTTTAAATTTGAAACAGGTCTCACTATGTTGCTTTAGCTAGTCTCAAACTTGCAATCCTGAGTGTCTGGGATTTTGAGAAAGTAGCATCAGTTTATGTTTCCATTATGTTTAAATTTTGAAAATTTTTTCTATTTTTGTTGTTGTTTTGGTAATGCTAGGGTCAGACACATGTTCTCAGGCATTTTAGGCAAACACCTTATCACTGAAGTACATTTCTTATCTCCAAATTTTGAAAAATGTAAACCTTTTTAAGGATTTAAGATTCTGATAATAATTGTTTCCTCTCTTTTACATTATTATTTTCCCACCGTGACTTTTTTTTTTTTTTTTTTTTGGATAGTGGTGATACTGGGGATTAAACTATGGTATGGCCTTGTACTTGCTAGACAAACTAATACTAAGCTACATTCCTCAGCCCTTTTCCTTTTTTCTTTTGAGACAAGAGTTGCCTAACATGATCTTGAATTTGCAATTCTTCTGTCTCAGACTCTAAAGTAACTGGGGATTAAAGGTATATGCCATCACACCTGGCTTTATTTTTTTTTTTAACTTGGAGGGTATTGAAAGATATAGAGAGATAGGAAAAAATTATCATATGCCAGATAATCTTTGATAACATTTCAGTATCTTTTTTACTTATAGTTTTAAAAATACACAGTAAATATTCGGTCATAATAACTAGGTATTGAATACCTAGGAGTTACAAGTCAAACAAGTTGAACCTTTGTGCCTGGGATATAGTTTCTATTTATATCATGTTGTCATAATTTGAATTATGGAATTACACATTTTTTATTAGTATATGTTTATAATACATAATAGATTCATCATGGAGAGTGGGTACATACGGGATTAGACTTTAAAGATTAGTGAGCCCCCCCACATATGAGTATATAGAACTTTCTGTACAGTCAAATTCCTTTTTTTTTTTTCCCTTTCTCTGTTTTTGTCTTTATTTTCATAGGAATTCTAGCCAGGAACCACGGCCTACACTGTCTAACACAGTCCAGAGGTCTCAGCTAGGTTCTACAGCTAATTTACCCCTAGAGATGGGCTCAGGGCAACTGGCACCCAGGTAAGAAATGGTGAAATAATCATCTGGTGAGTAGACACAACACCAGGGGGTGGCTATCTGCAATCTCATTTTTTTGTTAGGTGGTTTGTTTTATTTATTTATTTATTTTTGAGGCCCTTTCAATTGATTCTTAAATCTTTTTTTCCTGTTTCTCTCCTCACTGATTATCATATAGGCAGCAGCAACAGCAAACAGAATTGGACATGGTATCAGGAAGAGATGGATTAGCCAGCTACAATCATTCCCAGGTGAGTGTGTATCATCTTTGAAGAGGACAGTGAACATTTCCTTTAACAATGTCCCCTAGAGCCAGTCAGTGTATGTATTTTATAAGAATTTCAGAATTTATAAATTATGTTAAACTTTCAATGATTATTTTCATCATTTTATTCCACAGGTTTCTGTTCAGCCTGTGGCATCTACAGGGCCCGAGCATAGCAAGACCCTTGAAAAGTCAGATGTTCTATTTGCCCAGGACAGAGATCCCAGATTTTCAGAAATCTATTCTAACATCAATGCAGGTATATTTTTTCAATCTTTTTTTAAAATTCTCATTTCTTAAATTCTTACTCGTGAACCTGTTACTGTCCAATCAGTGATCTTCCAACATTTTTCCACTTAATCGTAGAATGCCTCATGAGTAAGTAGGAGCTTGCTGAATTATATACTACAGCCCCTTGACTGGCCCTCCCCCCACTCCTTTTGGTCCGCAGATCAGAGTAAAGGCATCTCTTCCAGCACTGTCCCTGCTACCCAACAGCTATTCTCCCAGGGCAACTCATTCCCTCCTAACCCCCGGCCGGCCGAGAATTTCAGGTGAGCCCCATATGTGTATGCTGCTTTTAGGGTCTTGAGGGATTCCACTGCTAAATCCAACTTTCATTCTTCCCCTGCTTTCTCTAGTTATTTCAGGCAAAGCAGTAGAGTGAGCAAAGGAGCTGCTTTCTTTCCTATCTGTTTCTTTGCACCTGTCCTATTGTGATGTTCTAGGTTCCATCCTTGTGTGTGCTGGTCAGTGTGTGGCTGTTAGTCTTTATTGTTTTTTTTTTTCCAAATTCTGTTACTGCATTTTCCTTAAACCCAAGGAAGTCAAGGGGATCTAGGAATAGTATGATTGTCCTTGGATTCCTAGATTCTGTGATGAACCCATCCCTTTAATCTTTTACTTCACCATTTGTTCACTCTTAGGAATAGTGGTCTGGCCCCTTCTGTAACCATTGTCCAGCCATCATCTTCTGCAGGGCAGATATTGGCCCAGATTTCCCGCCACTCCAACCCTTCCCAGGGAGCAGCCCCAACTTGGACCCCTAGTACTCGCTCAGGCTTCTCTGCCCAGGTAAAGTTTCTCATCTAATCCCTATGTATTAGTTTTTGTTTCTTTCCACATGTATGATTATTATCTCTTTTAGGTAACTTCTTAACCATTTACCAGTCCAATTGTTTAAATACAATATGACAAAAAATTGCATATTTTTTGTTAATTTTATAAGATAAAACCAAGAAATATAAAATCAATCATTTTATCAAATTTATTCAATACTGGAATGGATTGGTTGAAACGACCCCTGCCCAAGTGATATGAAAACTAACATGCTGCCTGAGTGATGCTCGGGATAAACTGTTAAGTGGTTAATCTTCATTCTCCAGCTTCTAAATTTTGGTTTTCTCAGAGCAACTAGATAATTAAAATGCTATAGATAATCCAAAAGTCTCATTAGCATCCATGTTTCTCACATAGTGACCTTTAGTTAGAATTGCTTATTTAGAACACTTAGAGATTTGATTCTGAGCTCTTTCTTGGAGTAAATTCTAAGAAGTTTACTCTTTGATTAGAACTGCATAACATAAAAACAAAAGAGAAAATTACTAATTACATATAGTGATGTGTGTTTATAAAAAGAAAATCTGTGTATCCATGTGTACGATATGATAAATGTGCAAAGCCTATAAAGCAAATATCCCTTACTATTTTACTATATTTATAAGTAATTTTTTTTTTTTTTTTGGTACTGGGGATTGAACTCATGCCCTCATGCTTGCCAGAGGCAGGCCCTTGTGCCACTGAGCTAAACCCCCAGTGTTTATAAGTAATATTTTATTAAAGGAAAAAATCAGAAACAAAAGCAGGGTCTAAAGTTACTGTACACATTATAATGTTAGTTGTGCAAAATGCACAGAAAGACTATTCATTTCTCCATCAGTCAGGAGGGATATCGTTCTTGAAAACAATCACCACAGTGCTTATGCTGTAATGAAACCAAGAAAGCTTACCTCTATGATTTCATATTCTTAAAAGATTTATTGTCTCTCTGTAAATTTGCTGTGGCAGAATCAAGAAAGGTGGTATTCATAGATGTCTATACAAGTCATGACTCCATCAAAGATTTTGAGGTGAAAATGGCTCCCATCATGAATGCAAACTATTTTTTGAGTAAAGAATTTCTTTGGATTGAAGAAGTTTATCACTGATTGAAGAAGCTGGTCACTGATCTGTGTTTCAGAACTATGAAGAATGAATATGCAGGCTTATGAGTTGTTTCTCTTAAACTTTTAACACTTTTTTTAAGATAGCAGGGTTTTACACTTACTAATGATAATAAATGAAACATGCTCTATAGAGCTACTCTGGGCCAGTTAGAAATAAGAGAAGTACATTCTACAGGGTGAGAACAGACCACTGTGAAAGAGAGTGCACAGTGGCCTTTAACACATATTTAAAAAAAAAAACAATTTGGGAAATAAAAATGAATTGATTATTCAAAATAATAAACATGGGTTTCTGGTGATGGAATTCTGAATGATTCTTATTTTATTTGCCTTTTCCAAGTGTTTAACAATGCAGCTACATTATTATCCTGGTGAGAAAAAGTATTTATTAAAAAAAGTAAGACGTTAGGAACAAAGGAATATAGAACACACTCCATAATAAAAGGATACAAAGTGCTAGGCATGGTATCACAATCTGGTGAGGCAGGGGGATAGCAAGCTTAAGCTCAGCTTGGATGACTTAGCAAGACCCTGTCTCAGAATTAAAAAACAGCTGAGTATGTTGCTCAGTATGAAGGTCCTAAGTTTAATCTCCAGATCTTCAAATGATAATACTAAAAGAATGCCTCCAGTTTTATGTAACTGTAAAGCATGTAGTTTATAACATGCCTTAATTCTTACAACCTACCTTTGTTCTTTGTCCTTTTATCTCACCTGCCTAAAAAATAGTACTGAGATTGATAGCTAATCAAAAGAAATAACACAGTTGAAAATAGTGATGAGCTTGAATTAGAAGAACACAGTGATCAATAATGTTGACTGCTATAGAAGTGGTCTGTGCAGTAATGTTAGTGTTCTATTTGTTGCCCTCTATCCCTTCTCTTTTTAGCAGGTTGCTACACAGGCTACAGCCAAGACTCGTTCTTCTCAGTTTGGTGTAGGCAACTTCCAGACTCCGTCCTCCTTCAGCCCCATGTCTCTTCCTGGTGCACCCACTGCATCCCCTGGTGCTGCTACCTACCCTACTCTCACCAATCGTGGATCCAACTTTGGTAAGTTCAGAGTAGGAGAATCCTAGGAACATTATACCTCTAAGAGAAAGATGCTGGAACCCAGGACACACACACTCTGCCAATTCTCTGCCACTGAACTATATCCCCAATTCTACTGCACTAAAAAGGAGGATTTTATAGTTAAAATGATTTGCCTGTGTCCTAGGTACACTGACCTAACATAGGAAAATGCAAGGTGACAGTCTGTTTGAAATTTAAAACCTCCCCATTTGAAAAATACTTTGGTACATATGACAAAATATTGTAAATATGTTGAAAATATACAATAAATATTATAATATAATTTTTTTTACTATAAAAATTACCAAAAAAACCCCAGTTCAGATGAACCAAGAACTCTTTTGGAACACTGTATAGAGTAGTGTTTTGGGACTGGATTTTGAAACAAGCACCATAGGAAGGGCACCAGTGGCTCTTTTCTCCTTTCCAGTAGGGTTAACAGACTGAGGTTGTACATTGCTGTGTTTCTAAGCTCCTGAAGCTGGACAGACTGCAGGACAGTTCCAGACACGGACAGCAGAGGGCGTGGGTGTCTGGCCACAGTGGCAGGGGCAGCAGCCTCATCATCGGTCCAGTTCAAGTGAACAACATGTTCAGCAGCCATCAGCACAACAGCCTAGCCAGCCCGAGGTCTTCCAGGTGAGAGGGTAAAGACTTCAGAAAATAGAAGCTAGGATAGAATGGATCAGAGGAGAGACAGAGAAAGAAATATGTCTGGATTAAGGTACTTGTTGGTTGGAGGTATATGGGAGAAGGTGATATATGAGGATAAATGTCAGTAATTTTTTTTTTTTTTTTTGTCTTTTTCCTTTTTATCTGTACTGGGGATCGAACTCATAACTGCCTGCTTTCAAGGCAGGCACTTATGCTGCTGAGCTAAACCCCCAGCCCCAATGTCAGTAATTTTTAAAAATTTGAATTTATTATCAAGCCCACCCATTAACCAGACTAGACAAAGGTAGTGGGAAAGATAGCAAAGAAAGTTATTTTAACTCAGTCACAGAGATCAGCCTTATTTCATAGTAGCTCTAGGTTTAAAATGGGCAGGGCAAAGAAAGTCTATGAAGCCAGGGCCTATAATTAGGACTGTGGGAGGCTGAGGCAAGAAGATTGCAAGTTTGAATTAAGTCTTGGCAAGTTAGCAAGACACTGTCTCAAAATAAAAAAGAGCTAGGAAGGCCCTGGGTTTAATCCCCTAGACACCCCCCCCCAAAAATATTTGAAATAGAACACACTGGTAGTTATAAAGGTCTCTTTATGTAAGTCCTAAGGGGACTGCAGGTATGAATGAAGTAATCTTAGACAAAGAGAGAGTATAAACCGTAGATTAAAAGAAGGCAAAACAGATTTTGGTGGGAAACATTGCACTCCTTATGTATCTGTGACAGATTATATGAAACATACTTTTCTCCCTTGGAAAATATCAAGTAGTAGGAGACAGTGAAAGATAGCTGTAGGAGCTGCAGAAGGAAGACAGAAGGAACTCGGGGAAAGGCTGTGATCTGAGGAGTTCAGCACAACAGGGACTTTTGGGGGTTAGCAACAATGGTACAGGGAATGCTGGGCAAGAACTTGCTAAATATAAAGATATGTGACTTAAACATAATCCTTTTCCCTCACTAGGAAATGCTGTCCATGCTGGGAGACCAGAGCAACAGCTACAACAATGAAGAATTTCCTGATCTAGCTATGTTTCCCTCCTTTTCAGAATAGAACTATTGGGGTGAGGATAAGGGGTGAGGGAGTAAAGTTACTGTTTGTTTTTTTAAAAGCAAATCTTTTGTAAACAGAATAAAAGTTCCTCTCCCTTCCCTTCCCTCACCCCTCCCGTGTATCCTCTTTCCCTGCCGGACCTCCCTTGCTCCTACCCTTGCCTCTTTGAGGTAACATTTGTAGACAAAAGGAAATGATAAATCCCCAAGGCTTTTAGGACTCTTTGAAAATAGGGGCTGAGTGAGATAGAAAGCCTTTCCTTACTTCTCCTGATCAGAAGTTGCACAGTGATAATTTGTGCTAGGGTGAAGAGAGGGGTTAGAGGAACCTATACCTACTATCTGCCTTGGAGACTATGGCCTGTTTTAGAAATTCTGAATAGAATGGAGGAGAAATACCCTCTCAGAACCATGAAACATGGTATTATGGGGCTTTAGAAAGCGAGCATAAGTTTTTCTGTTACCTGTGAGCAGTTCTTCTGGAAAGAGACATGACAGTGAGGTTGTGTGTGTGTGTGTGTGTGTGTGTGTGTGTGTGTGTGTGTGTGTGTGTGTATTTCTGTGTTTCTTTTTCCCTAGTGGGGAGTTATGCAAAATCTGTCCTATCTGTGTGCTCTTCAAAGAATTTTAAGGAGTTAAATGTTTCAGGTATTTTCCATTTAGTATTGCAGCCAAAGAGTATTTAAATAAATACCTTTGCTGCACTTATTTCTGTATCCAGCCAATTTGCATCTATAGGCAATGTCTTGCTGATAATGGTTGGTTTCTTACCAAACACACTCAGTGATAAAGCTGGACTAGTCCTGCTTTTGGTGCTCACACCTTGCTTAGAAAGATTGACAAACATTACTGAAACGGGCTGGCAAGATAAACACTTTTAGTAATCCTAGACTTGTCCATAAGAATAATGCTGCATTTTTCTGTCAGAATCACACATAATATGTTTCATATAGAGGTTATTTCTGCATGGAAACTCAACTTCTTGGAGTAGCAATCCCAGTGAAAATACTCACTGTTGGAGTACAAAACAAATACCAAGCCTCTTGCAAAGTAACCTCTTTCATTCCATCCTTAAAAATTGCTTATCTTGATTTTGGCCTTTCCTGGGTCTGTAGGTCTTTCCTCTTTGCTCCCTTCCAATCTTATGGTTGGATGGATCACAAGTATAATAATTCTGTTTGTCATGGGGCCTGAGCTCCCATCCCAACAGGGTCACTTGGTAATTATAGCCATATAAATGTGGATATAGGTTACTGCTCTCACTCTTTACCTTCCTCAGGTAAGTCATGTATACCAACCTTTTTTTTTTTTTTTCTAAACTGGCTCCAGCTAGCATGTAAGTGCAAGACTGAGTTAATTGGAAGACATTAAGTGTATTCATAGGAGACTGAGGAGCACTGATGGCCTTGGAGAAGCTGAGGGAATGTCACTTACTGCTTTCTTCTTTTTGTCTCCAGTCTGGTGCCAGGTAGTGAAGTGGAAAGGAGACAATTTATTTTTTTATTCTATGTGCACACATACAGTATACATATATATTTATATCACAGTTTATGAAACCAAAAAGTTGAGTTTCCAATGGAATCCTTGTTTTTTAATAATCAATTGTTTTTAAATATGATCAAGACTATAATATTGTACAGTTATAATAGGGTTTTGGGGGGAGGGTCTGGGAGGAAAAGGATACTTCGGGGGTTTTGTTTCTGCCTTTACTTCAGTATTTTATTTTTGATTTTTTCCCCCTTGTTGGCCATTTCTGTATTGTTGGGATCTGTGCTAATACAGTGGCAAAAATAATGACATGTAGCAAAGATTTTAAAACAATACTTTTTTCCTTTTGTAAAAAGTTCTTGTGTTGTGTGATCTCAATTGCGACTTTATTATTCATTTTCAGCTCATAAACAGCAGACATTCGCAACTAAAGGAATCCATAGATTGAGCTCCAAACATACAAACATAGTGTGAGTCTTTCATTTCAGGAATCAGAAATCACAGGGCCTTGATCACTCAGCTGCCCTCTTCCTCACTTGTCCTCCTGATCCTGACACATTTCTGAATAAAATCAGCAAGAACATTCTGACCACACTGTTTGAGGGTGGGGGTTCCCCAGACCTTTGAGAGAGACTTAAAGGATTAGGATTTGAAATCACTAGGCTTGTCTGGATACCGCTGTCTCTCTAGTATAACATCCTTTGGATTAAAAAGAATTAAGGATTGGGCAGTTTTGCTATTGTTTTTTGAGATGGTCTCACTTTGTAACCCAGGCTGGACTCTGACTCGAGATGATCTTCCTGCCTCTGCTGGGATCACAGGCACGTGGCTACTATGTCTGGCTCAGGGTTGGGAAGTTTAAACTCCTCAAGTCTGTACCTTGTTTCCTCTTAGAACTACTGTATGTGGTTCGTTAACAATTCTTAAAGTCAAGAGGCATAAGTCCATATTTTTGAGGACTTATTTGTGGAAACCAGCATGGAACTAAATCTAAATTCCATGTATTATCCTTTCAATTCCAATAACTCTCTTTCCCCACATCTTGTTTATGGAAGAAAATGGAGTTGGGTGGGGTGACTGAGCTGAACTCTTATGATTTGTCACATGGGTAGAGTTTGGGGAAGCATTTGGAGAAGCTCATGTGACTAACCTAGAATGGGGATTTTAATCATAGAGGCATAATACTCATCAGACATCCTATCGTCTGAGGCTGGTAGCAGTAGAATCTTCATGTAAATCAATCAGTCCTTTGATTCAGGCATTGTTCTAAAACAGGAGCACTGTTTTTGACTGCTTTTGGAACCAGTGTCATCTGGACTTTCTTAGCAGGTCCTCTCTACAAAATCACCTTAGTCTGGGAATGCTGTTCCCCTGCCTAAAAGCAGTGGCAACTTCAGCCAACTACTTCATAAAATACAAACAATTTTGGAACCTGTGTCTTCTCTTATGTCACTTGCTTCTAGTCTTTTGTGTTTATTCTGTTATTCCAGAAGTGTGGGTCAGACACAAATTTGAAAACTGAGGTTTCAGTGTTAGGGGGCTGGGGATTATAACAAGAAAAAGGAAAAGATACAGTTTATTGTAATAACATATTTAAAGGAGGAAGATGAGGAAGACCAAGTCTGTGTCTTTCATTTTCCCATTAAAGGAGAAAGTATACCCCAACTTGAATAATGCGTATTGTCTTTTGTCTGCCTCCAGAAACAGTCATGTGAAACTAAATACCTAGCAACTGTTTATCCTAGCACACAACACTGCACAGACAGAAACACTGCAAATATGCTGCCTCCTTCCACCCTAACCCCCCTTCTCAACATTTCTATTCCCGCCTCCCTGTCTTATCCAAGTTTTCCAGCCAACTGCTGTGGCTGACTTCCGCAATCCTGATGAAATAAATCTAGCACCCCTGGTCTTCCGCCCACATTAGCCACACTTTGTGCCTGAAAGGAGCACAGACAAGATTCCCAACTTCAGGTAACGTTTTCAGTTTCCTAGATCTTTTAGCTTCTCATTCTTGCCAATTTTCTGTTTAAGAGCATCAGGGATATGGTGAGTCGATCAAAATTATAGGTTCTTTGGGTGAAAACGGATGCCCTTATTTCTTCTGGCCAAATAAAATCTGTCTGGAAATCTTTAGGATTCCTTGTATTACTGCATGTAGCGTATGCATACATGCTTGTTTGGAGAAGCAAAGGAATAGGGGCTCCTTTGCCTTTTTTGAGGTATGAGGTACCTCAAAAGCATACCTTATATCTCAAAAGCAGCCACTCTTGTTTTCTGCTTGGAACAGAAAAGTTAACTGACTACTGAGACCGAGTGATAAGAGTGGTACCAGTAGGTGGTAGCTTGGTATTTCTGCTCTGATGTATGGTCAGCCCTTAACACTCCAGCTATTAAATGTCCTCTGACATTTTACCAGTTTGCAAAGGTTACAAAAATGGACTATAAATTTTGTGCTGTGCAGGTCATATGACTGCCTGGAGACTGCAAATTGTTGTTAAACTGAAGGACTTGCAGTTAAGCCAGTGCAGGAAATGAGTGAATCTTTGAAGTAGTTGTGAATTTAACCATAGAATACTGCTTTTCCATCCTACATTTTTCTAACCTTGGTTCTGAGGGATTTACCCTATGAAGGCAGCCACAGATGTTTGTTGTTGGAAAAAGAAAAATCTTCCACAGCATCTGGTTAAGATTAGGCCAGTTTCCTGCCAAAGAGGAAGGGGAGGAAGAAACTTATAAAAAAGGAGACCATAAATGTTGAGTTAAATAAGGAGATGCTGTCAACTTTTCTTGTCTTCTGGGAAGATTTGGAAAAGTCAGTTTAGGCAAAGAAAAGAAGCTGGAAATCTCTTCTATGTGTATCCTCCAACCCCATTTCTATCTTACCCTTTGTTCCACTCCAAAGTTGGGGACACTGAAAGGTTAACTGAGATGGCCCAGTTGTTTGGTCTCCACCCCATTAATGGTTGTAAGTTTATAGGTATGTGTGTACATACTTTGGATTTCCCTCTGTCATACTTCTTGGAATTAGATAAATCTTTATCTTGTACAAAGCCATCCTCTTCTATCACCCTCAATTCCTCGTCTACCTTTCTCGGAGAGCTAAGTTTTCCTCTGTCTTATGGTTCAGAGGCAGGGCTGCTTATCACTAGTCATGACTCCCCAAGGATTCTTCCCTATGTGTGCACTTTTTTCCTAAGAGGAACTAGACTTCTGTTAGCTTTTAAAAGGAATCTGTGACTCAAAGGTTAAGAGCAACCTACTGGAATATGACTATTTTCTCAACCGTAAGCCAGGCTGTGAATCTCCAGGCAAATGGAAGAGTCTTCCCTAATTATTCCCTTCCCCAGGATGTGGGGGCTCAAGGTTCTGCTGCTGCCTGTGGTGAGCTTTGCTCTGTACCCTGAGGAGATACTGGACACTCAGTGGGAGCTTTGGAAGAAGACCTACAGGAAGCAGTACAATGGCAAGGTGCCTGGGAACTGGGAGGGACACATGGTGGTAGACCTGGGGTCTGAGATCTCCATTCTCAGCTTCTAGAGTCCTCAATCAATTACAGTATTTCATTTCAATGAAGCAAACTATCCCTTCCCTAACTTCATTTCTGTACCTCAGCTCATCATCAAGATCTCTCCATATTTTGTTGTATAATGGTCTTGTCCATGGGTATAGCTCAGTGATACAGCCCTTACCTAGCAAGGGCTAGGCCCTGGGTTTAGTGCATCACCAACAGACACACACACCTTAAATTTGTCTTTTGGGAAGACAGCTTTTCAGATAGTAATGCTATTAATCTATGAACAATTTTCTATTGATCTTTTCAGAGCTTTGCATTGTACTTTTTGTATTTGTTTACATATTTCTTTTTGTATACTCTTAATTCGTGGTTCTCTAATTAGACTACATTTAGAATTTCAAGTTGCATCTTTTATCCACAGCACTAGCTATGTAACTTTGCATACAGTCTATGCAAATACTGATAATCCTTTATTTAGGTGGATGAAATCTCTCGGCGCATAATTTGGGAAAAGAATCTGAAATATATTTCCATCCATAACCTTGAGGCCTCTCTTGGTGTCCATACATATGAACTGAGCATGAACCACTTGGGAGACATGGTAAGTTGAGCCTGAGCTCCTGGCCCCCTGTCACATTTGCTTTAATTTCCTGCTAATGCCTGATCTCTTTTTTTTTTGTCTCAGACCAGTGAAGAAGTGGTTCAGAAGATGACTGGGCTCAAAGTACCTCCCTCTCATTCTCACAGTAATGATACCCTGTACATCCCAGACTGGGAAGGCAGGGCTCCTGATTCTGTTGACTACCGAAAGAAGGGCTATGTTACTCCCGTCAAAAACCAGGTACTGTTTCATGTGTGTGCACAGGAAATCTGGCATGATTTGTTCCTTTTTCTGGTGTTTTGGTCATGAAGCAAGAGAGTACTGGGAAAAGGGGAGAGAAAAATTAAGATTTGTCTTACGCTAAGACAATATAACCTGTTCTGATACTGAAATAATTATTTTGTATATTTAAATGTACATTTTTGTAAGTTTGTTTGTGAGGGTTTTTTTTGTTTGTTTGTTTGTTTTGGAGCTGGGGCTTAAACTCATGATCTCATGTTTTCCAGTAAGCATTAGTAATGCTAAGCTGAATCTCCAGCTCCTAACTTGAGTTTTCCTTATTACAACTACTATTACAATAAGTGATCTTATGTGTATTTTTATGTGTGTGAACTGCAGAAATGTTAAGCAGAATAAAGTTGGAATTGTTTAGTCATAGTTTCAAAAAGTTTTTATAATCTTAACATTCTTGCCAACACAAGAAGGCCAGTTTTCCCATAACCTTTTTTTTTTTTTTTTTTTTTTTTTTTTAGCTTTTTGAGACAGGGTTTTACTGTGTAGTTCAGGTTGGTGATTCTCTTGCCTTAGCATCTAGAGTTGCCAGGATTACAGGCATGTGTTCCCAGAATGTTAATACAGGTTCTAAACAGTAAGATGAATAGTTGAGCTGGGTGTGAGGGTGCATGCCTGTACCCCAGCTACTTAGAAGGCTGAAACAGGAGAATCCAAAGTTTTAGACGAGCATGGGTAATTCAAAGAGATCCTGTCTCAAAAAATGTGGTGGATGTGGGGATCTAGCTCAGCAGTAGAGTACCTCGAGGTTCAATCTCCAGTCCTGCCAACCCCCCCCCCCCCCAAATTAACATTCATTTAACAAATACTATTTATTTCTCCCCTAAAGTCTACCAGGTACCACAGAGGTAGGCAATAAAAATTCAAAATGGCTAATTCATAACCTGCATCCTCAAGAAATCTGTCTTTAAAAATGGCTTAAGAAAGAAAAAAAAAATCTTCATTCTGGCAGAATAAACATAAATTCTAATTTCTTAATCCTCATGATAGTCTCACTAAGTACACTGTTAACCAGATAAGATAAGAAAACTAAGGCACAGAACGCTGTAGTAAGTTGCTTAAGGTAATGTGCACAACTAGTGAGTACCAGGTCTGTCAAAACACAGGCGAACAAATGCCTCCAAAAGCTGGCTGTGCTTTCTGTTTTACTGCAGCTCACAGGAACCACATTTATGAACAGCAGTAAAATTAGGCATTGAACGTTAAGTGAAAGGGAATAAGAAGGCAGCATTTGCGCTGGGTGTGTAAAGAGCATATGGAATGTCATCAGGCAGGTGTCGGGAAGATACAGATGCAGCAGCTCAGGGCTGATCACTTCTCTGTACCCCACTCAGGGTCAGTGTGGTTCCTGTTGGGCTTTCAGCTCTGTGGGTGCCCTCGAGGGCCAGCTCAAGAAGAAAACAGGCAAACTCTTAAATCTGAGCCCCCAGAATCTGGTGGATTGTGTATCTGAGAATGATGGCTGTGGAGGTGGCTATATGACCAACGCCTTTCAGTATGTGCAAGAGAACCGTGGCATTGACTCTGAGGACGCCTATCCCTACGTGGGCCAGGTAAGGCTGTGCCGTATGGCTCCACAGCTCCGACACGGCTGCTGTTTACCTAGCAAGGATAGTGCTTCCTGGGAGGGATTTCAGAAGTTTTGTTTTCTTTTATTTTATTCAGCTTTTTTAAATTTTTTTTTTTTTTTTTTTTTGGTCTTTTTCCTTTTTATCGGTACTGGGGATCGAACTCACGACTGCCTGCTTGCAAGGCAGGCGCTTATGCCGCTGAGCTAAATCCCCAGCCCCTTATTCAGCTTTTTTAATGGGATACTTTCTCACAGAAGGACAAAAAGATTTCTACAATCTTGGGAGTGCTTTAGGAGCTTAAGCTACCATAACTTGTAGCTCTCTGCCCTAGATATGAGAGGGGATAGGTTATCCTTTAACCTCTGCACAGGTCTCAAGAACCCATTGCTAAATTCCCTGTGCCTGCAACCCACAAAACTAACCTTGCTATTTTCATGAATCATGTGACATACTTACTTTTCCTCCCTCCCTCCCTCCTTCCCTCTCTCCCTTTCTCTCTTTCTCTTCTTTCTTTTTCTCTCTCTCTTTCTTTCTTTCTCTTTGAGATAGAGTCTCACTATGTAGTTCAAGCTGGCCTCCAATTTGAGGGGATCCTCATGCCTCAGCCTCCCAAGTGCTGGGATTATAGGCATGTACCACATGCCTGGCCATGAGCTCAGTGGAATATGGGGAACATTTAGCCCAGTTATGTAAGTTAAAATGCTAAAATGTATAAAATGAGAGAAAAAATGATTTCATACTTTAGTATAATTTTAGAAGTAAAGGATTACCTCACTTTCTCCATGACTCCTTAATAATAGTATCTTTCTTCTCTAAATGGAGGTAATGTGAGAATTTTTAAATATACATGGGGCTGATGGATACAGTATGAGCCTCTGTGATAGGCTTTAGGGTAGGGGTTGCAAGTGATAAAAATTGATGGCTGCAATATAGTAAGCCATGTAATTGGTACTTTTTTTTTTTCTGTCTTTTTGAGACAGAGTCTCACTATGCAGTTTAGACTGGCCTTGAATATACTTTGTAGCCCAGGCTGGTCTCAAGCTTGTAAGGATCCTCAGCCTCCCAAATGCTGGAATTAGAGGCATGAGCCACCAATCCTGGTACATTTATTTTTAATCGTAATAGCATTGTAAAGTAGACCTGACTTCACTTTGTAGAGAAGAAATTGAAATTTAAGAAGACAAAAGAATGTGATCCAATTTGTATCACTGGTATATCAAAAATATATGGGGGCTGGGGATTTAGCTCAGCGGCATAAGTGCCTGCCTTGTGAGGAGGCGGTCATGAGTTTGATCCCTGGTACCGATAAAAATGAAAAAAAAAAACCAAAAAAAATATATATGAAAGTCTTTTCACTTGACATGGACTTTCCTAGGCACATGCATGAGAATTTCGTACTAGGATATAATACCTTGGAACAAATTGGCTCTTAGGGTATGTGTATATAAAACTTTATTGTATATTGTTTACTAAACAATTTGGCAACATTTATACTTTCATCTGCATGTGTAAGACTTTTGAGATAAGACTCACTAAACTGTCTAGCCAGGCCTTGAATTTTTAATCCTCCTGACTCAGTCTCTCCAATTGCTGTGATTAGCAATGTGCACATTGAGCTGAAGAAAGCCTGTTACATGTTTTGCTTGTTTATTTGTTTTTTGGGTTTTTGAGATGAGGTCTTGCTATGTAGCTCAAGTTGGCCTTAAACTCTGTAGCCTAGCTGTTCTTGAACTCATGGCAATCCTCCTGCCTCAGCCTTCTAAGTGCTGGGATTATAGGTGTACACCACCACACCCAGCTCCTGTGTAATTTTTGACAGCAAGAGACAGCAGAGGTTTGACTCAGATGGCAGATCACAAAGGGATTTTGAGAAATTTTAAAGTAGTAGACTATTAAAGTCTTATGCACACTAAGCTACATCCCTAGCCCTAATAATATTAGAATATTGTTAGATGGGGGCTGGGGATTTAGCTCAGCAGCATAAGTGCCTGCCTTGCAAGCAGGCAGTCGTGAGTTCGATCCCCGGTACTGATAAAAAGAAAAAGACAAAAAAAAAAAAAAAAAAAAAGAATATTGTTAGATGCTGCCATTACTATTAATATTTAGTGTGTTCTTATTGTAGGTATAACCTTCAGGTTTTGAAAGGATCATCTGTAAAGAGTTACCAAATAATAGTGTCATATTGCTAACTAGATCTGCAAAACATGGAGTTGGAAGATCACAAACTAAATCACTGTGGCATTAAGTATTTTTATGTCATGTTATATGCTTTTATTTCTGTCTCTAATGAAAATGTAATCCAGCAAAACTGCCTCACACTCGCATCCTTGATGGAGAGGTAAAGGCCCAGGTTCTCTTTGTACTGGGCTTCAGTGTTGGCCTTTTCCCCACACTGCAACTGGTATTTCTCTGCTCTCTGAGGCTCACACATGATAGAAGGTCAAAAGATTAGCTGGGCGTGGTGGTGCACTCCTGTAATCCCAGCACTTGGGAGGCTGAGGCAGGCAGATCATTGCAGTCATGACCAGCATGGGCTACAAAGTGAGCCTAAGGTCACTGAATTGTATAGCAAGATCCTGTCTCAAAAAGCAAAACAGAAAGTCAGAGGATGATTTGTGTCTTATTTGTGTATGTGTATGCACATGCATGCTGGAGTTTGACCCCAGGGCCTTCATACTGTAGATCTATAGCCTCAGTCCTGTTTTCCTTTTTTTTTCTGAGAGGGTCTTGTTAAATTGCCCAAACTGGGCTGAAAATGTGACCCTTCTGCCTCAGGCTCTGAGAACACTGGGATTCTAGTCATGATCCCACCATGTCTACCTATGACTTGTACCTTTTGCAAAAATCTTATTTGAGAAATCTTTTTTTTTTTTAACCGTGAAGTAATAAAAACAGTATCTCTTCTTTTAAATGTTTAGTTTTCCTTTTCTATGTTTATGCCTTTAAACTGGCTGGCATTGATGTTCATGTATGGCAGAATTAGGAATCCTTTTTCATAGTTTCCTAAAATGGTGAAGAACAGACTGTTACTTCACTGCTGCTACTCAAAACTTTGGTCAGCTTTCTCACTGATCAGCTCATTGCCCATTGCTTTGTTCTAGTCCTGTTACAATCTCATTTCTTCCAGGAGGAAAGCTGTATGTACAATCCAACAGGCAAGGCTGCTAAATGCCGCGGGTATAGAGAGATCCCTGTGGGCAATGAGAAGGCGCTGAAAAGAGCTGTGGCCCGCGTGGGACCCGTCTCTGTGGCCATTGATGCAAGCCTGAGCTCCTTCCAGTTCTACAGCAAGGGTAAGGAGCCATTCCTGCAGAGACTTGGATATGCAGGCACGATGTTCTTCAGGGGTCTGAGCAGTCTCAGTACAGTACTCAGTGTTTGTATTTAAACTCAGTCTGCCAGAGACAAATTAACATTGGTCACAGTGCAGATCATCTCTGTGGTCAACCTGCTAGGCTGGGACTGAATTCTAGTGTCTCCGACATCAAGAGGCCTCCCAAGGTAGCTCTTGCCTAATAGAGAGCCTCAGTGCAGTTGTTTTCCAGGTGTGTATTATGATGAAAGCTGCAATGGTGAGGATCTGAATCATGCACTGCTGGCAGTGGGATATGGGATGCAGAGAGGAAATAAGCACTGGATACTTAAAAACAGGTAATGAGGGGTACTGCTTTTGTCAGGTAATCACTTTCTGACACTCAGCATTACTTCAGTTTCCCAGAATTCTTTTCTTTCTCTCAGATCATCTGAGGAGAAATTATCTCAGGCTCTTCATTTGTATCTTCCAGCCAGAGCCTTAATTCTGAAGCTGGCATTTGATGAGCAAACAGCAGTACTTGAGTGTTTTGTGTACTGAGCTGTGTGCAAGGTGCTTAGCACCCAGTACGAACACATAAGCAAATGTCTGCATTCAGCCATCTCATAGCCCAATTAGAATGGCAGAGACAACTCACCATGACACACGTGGCACAGAGAAGCAGCTCATTTCCTTGAGAAGCTCCTAATTTTATCCACCTCACCTCTGAGATTTACTCCCAAGCCACAGTCACAGCCTCAGCCTCTCTTGCCACAATAAGGGTCAAACTCTTCAAACTTATGGTACAGATAATTCAGCCTATGTCAATCTGCCTTCCAGACAGAGCTCCCGTTATACTGTCAGGCACTCTGCTTTCAGCTGTGTTATCCTGACATGACCTGCCATCCTTGCCTCTGCTGTCAGCCTCAATAACCCAGCTTGGGCTTCATCCCTTTTTCAGCCTCTTGATTAGTGGCACTCTTTTGCACCTTTGAAAAGAGAGCATTATATCATTTTTCCTGTGACTTTAAACACTTTAAAGGTAAAAGTCATCTTGCTCAATTTTGTATGCTATTAGTACTTGGCACACTATAATGAGAGCTTTAAGGAATAAACTAAAGTACTAAGTATTTTTCTTGATTGGTCCTACAGCTGGGGAGAAAACTGGGGAAACAAAGGCTATGTTCTCTTGGCTCGAAATAAGAACAATGCATGTGGCATTGCCAACCTCGCCAGCTTTCCCAAGATGTGACTGCAGCCAGCCAGCCTCCTCCTGTTCTTGCGTTCCTACTTGATGCAGTACCATGATATGCCGTGGGAGGGAGCTGTGTACCATTCTTGAAACAGATGAGGCAACACAGACTCTGCGTTCCATTCTTCATTCACCGGTGCTTCAAGTGAGACCCTACAACTTTCCTTCTCTCCAGCTGAAGCCCTTTTCTCTGGGGTCACATGCAGGATTTCCCAGAGAGGTATGGGTGCATGTCCTGGGGCTAACTCTGTGGAGGTCTTCTGATGGGCTAGGTTCTGGTGCATTAAGACTACTTAGCTTTAAGTACCCTGGAAGACTAAGGCAACCTGACATCAGTTTCTGAGTTCCCTTCCATATTCTCAAGGTACAGATTTCTGTTTTTCACTCCACTTCACAAATATATTCATAAGTTTTTGGTACAAATTCTCATCATAGAAGAAATGTTTTCTTTTTCCTTCTTTGTGTTTTTGAAATAAAGTATCTCTTATCTACGATGTAATAAACAGCATTTAGTACACATTCATTTTGTGTTAATACAGTGCTAGCTTTTGGGAGACAAAACGATGAGTAACATTCCCTATTTAATATACACACAGTCTGACTTGGAAGCCTGTTATAGAACCATCCCAGTTCCTTTATGTGTTCATTCCTGCAGTGGGCATTAATCAAGCACTTACCCTGTATCAAGTCTTGTACTGAGCTTCTGGAAGTAAGGAGATTTCAGTGTTTAACACTGTCTGCACATGGGCCAATCCAGTGACAAGCATACCTACGTCTTGAAAACTACCTTAAATTTGCTTCTGAAGTTCTACAGTCTAAAATTTTGCTGTCACTAAAAGAAGAAATTCAAAATCTTTACTAATATTTTCCAACAAGTATTCTAGAAGATTAAATTGCATAAATTACCTTTTTTCACAAATTATTTTATCAAAGACCTATTTTTTTGTTGTTGTTGGGCACTTTTTGGTTGTTTTTGTGGGGGGAGGATCTGTGTATTTTTGTTTTTGTTTTGAGGGTCTTGCTATGTAGTTCAAGCTGGCCTTGAACTTACTGTGTAGCCCAGGCTGGCCTTGAACTCATGGTGATCCTCCTGCCTCAGCCTCCTGAGTGCTAGGTTTACAGGTATGCACCACCACATCTGGCGAGGACTTGTTATTACTACTAGAAAAGTCACATTTATTTACTGTTTACTCATGTCAAGAATTCTTACTCCTTTGTATGCAAAACACATTGTTTTGGTAAATATTTCTTAACATATGGTAAAGAATATATTAAGTCTAGAAGCCTAGTCATGGTCCTGATTTTAAAAATACTGCCAACTTTAGTGCATATACTTGTCATCCCAACTACTTGGGAGACTGAGGCAGGAGGAGCTCAAGATTTTCAGTTCAGGCTGAGCAACACAGCAAGACCCTATCACAAAAAGTATTAGAGAATAATCATTGGATAACTGTCTTTTGAAAACTAAGCAGTTTAAAAATGGGTTCTCTGGATATTTCTGAAATAATAAAATCGTTTTAAAAAACTTTTAAAAAGAACATAGTATATTCATGATAGAGACACACACAAGGAATCAATAATGTTATGCACAGTGGGAAAAAAAAGCTCAGGAATGGATCATTACTTACTAGGATTTTTGGTAAGGCTCTATTAAGAGCAGTGCCTTAAAAAATCTTTTTCTCTTTATCTCTCTTCCCCTCTCTCTCTGTCTCTCTCTACAAGCTGGCTTTGAACTTGCCTGCTGTGCAGCTGGGATTACAATTGTGTGCTACCATGTCTGGAACTTTGAAAGATCTTAATGGATAGAGAAGGAGGGTGGAGGGTGCCATCAGCGTAAAATTCCAGGTGAACAAAGGCACAGAGCTGTGTGGGTGAACAGTGAGAACTGAAGTGTGTCAACTGTAGAGGGCAAGAGCATAAATGCTGGAGCTGAGGGGAGAAAAGAGAGGTGCATCCTGGAGCCCCACTGTGTCCTATGAAGTTCATTATTTATTTTGTGAACACACAGGCATTTAGTAGACATCAAAAGTCATGATTACATCTATATTTTAATAATATTCCTCTGGCCCTAAGGTAAAAAACATTGAAGAGCAAAATGGAGATGCAGCCTATGATTCTAGCATTCAAGAGACTGAGGCAGAAGGATCACTGTGAGTTACATACACAGTGAGTGTTTGTATGAGTTCAGGGCCAGTTTGGAATCGAGCTAGGCCGACCTTGTCTCACAAGAACAAAACAAGCCGGATGTGGTGGTACACACCTGTAATCCCAGCAGTTGGTTAGGCTGAAAAAGGAGAATTGCTGTGAGTTGGAGCCCAGCCTGGGCTACGTAGTGAGTTCAAAGCCAGCCTGAATTACACAGAGAGAGACCCTATCACATACACAAAAATAATAATAAAGAAATGTAAGACAATGGAGGAAAATCAACATTTAGGAAGTACCTCAAAGAAGTGCTTCTCTAAGGTTGTGAGCTCCATCCCCAGTACCAAAAGAAAGAAAGAAAGAAAGAAAGAAGTGCTTCTCAAGGAATAATTTATGGACTCAGAGCTTTTTTAAATCTTGACCATGAGTTTGGCAGATAATGAAGGCAGCAAATGACATCCTTAGCAAATTTCATCCCAGGAAATCTTAGTTCAAATTTGTAGGCTTAAGAGCATGCAGGTTCAGCAGCCCACCAGTATTTTTACTGAATGCAGAAAGGACCAAACAAAGCAAGCTGGAGAAATGTCTGATTCTCTGCTGAGAAACTCTATGTAGAGTTGTTACTTCCATCTGGATTTTTTTTTGCTTCTGCCTAACACATCCTTCCGGGCTGCGTGTGACAGTGGGTGGCTTGAGGCAGGAGGGTAGCAAGTTTGGCCTAGCCTGTCCGGTCTAAAAATAAATAAAAATGACTGGGAATATAGCTCAGTATAAAGGTCCTGAGTTTAATCCCCAGGACTGAATCCTTTGGAATTTTTTTTTTGTGTGTATATATGAGCAACACATACTCCACTCCTAAACATATTTGGGTGTATTCTAGTTTTTTTCCTAGTGCATTACTGTGTACATTTATGTATACTTTATTAATTAAATGTGATACTGCTAAAGTATACATACTGCTAGAGTTTTATAATGTGTTTTTGTATCTGGTAGGGTTAGTCTTTACTTTGCGGTTCTTAATAATTTCTAAATGTATATTTCTTCTATATGATCATTAGAATTAGCTTCTCAGATTATCAAAAACCCTGCTGATATTTTTATTTGGATCATACTAAATTTATATCTTAACTGAAGAAAATTGACCTCTTCCTGCTACTGAATTTTCCTATATTTTCGAAATAACCCAGTGCCAGTGTATAAACACTAAGGTGAAGATGTGCTAAGAGGGCTGGGGATATAGTTCAGTGGCAACAGCACCTGCCTTGCAAGCATGAGGTCTTGAGTTCAATTCTTGGTACAAAAAAAAAGCTCTGAGACCAAAGAAAGAGACAAACCCTCCAGTATAACACCTAGTGCACTCTCCTCAGGGATTGAATGATAGAAGTGTGGTCCTGGGGAAGCAGCAAGACCAGTGGAACCCTGTGATTTTGGTCAGAAGTAGGTGCCTTTGTAAAAGTCAGAACAAAACTGGTTTCATTCAAGCTGGACTATACTTACTAAGTTCCAGAAAACACCTGGGGGGTTTCATTTATAATATACTGGGGAAAACAGACTAGGGTTATTAAGGAATAACCATGCAGCCAGGTCAACTTGAATCCATAAACTAAGACTAAGACACCTTAAATCTTTTATGTTTTTGTATAGATCCTAGTTTATTGATAAAATGTTTTCTAAAAATTTTGCCTTTTATTGCTGTTTTATGGCAGAAGAAAATGAATTTATTTCTAATATATCTTGTAATTTGATTTGTACATTTGAAAGATACTGGTTTGTTAATTTTGTACTAACCTACTTTATCTTGAACTCTATTTTTGTTTGTTTTTCACTTGATTCTTTTTGATGGGGGAAAGGTATAAGTACATGATACACAACTAAATTTTACTCCTTTCTAGTTTTTTTTTTTTTTTTTTTTGTGCCAGGAATCAAACTCAGGACCTTGTATTTGCCAGGCAGGCACTGTGCCAGAGCTATATCCCTGGCCCTCCTTTCTAGTTTTTATCTCTAATTTCTGATTTATTTATTTACATCAGGTAATTCTTCCAAAATAATACTAAGAAATACAGATAGGTCCTGACCTAGAAACATGATTCTAGTATACACAAAATTCTCCTGTAAATGTGTATAGTTTAACTAGTCCACATTCAGTGGACAAACCATTGTTAGTATTCCCAGCTATATACAGTATTACAATTAATGACTGATTTTGACACAAAGACCTTTTAACATGACAATGTGATCTGTCTTTTTTTAATTTTTAAATTTCTTTTATAATACTGGTATTAGCTAATGTTCATTGAGCTTTACAATATATCCCATAGCATGTTAAGTTCTTTATACTCTGTTCTCTTACCATCTCCATTTTGTAGATATTAAACAGTAACCTAGCTAGTAAGTAGCTGAGCCAAGACTCAGACCCAGGTGCTTTCTGTTTTTCTGAATTTTATTATCTACTTTGTTTTATGTATTTTATTTTGTATAGGTTTGATATGATACAGATACTGTGCTTTTACAAATGACAAGTTCACTTCAGTGTAGAAAATTCTAAGGAATTAACTGAAAAATAATTAGAACTAAAGAGTTTCACATAGTTGCAGGATATGAAATTAACAAAAATTAATTTTATTTCTGTACAATAACATTAAATAAACTGAAAAATTAAAAAAAGTATTTTACAATAGCATAAAAAAAAAATAACATACTTAGGAATGAATTTTTTTCGGTACTGGGAATTGAACTCAGGACCTTGTGCTTGCCAGGCAGGCACTTGTGCCACTGAGCTATATCTCCAGTCCAGGAATGAATTTTTAAAAAGAACAGCAAAATGTATACTCTGAAAGCTACAAAAAGTTACCAGAAAAAAACAAAACTAAATAAATGGAAGACATCCCACATTCATGCACTGGAAGACAATATTGTTAAAGTGGTAATACTCTCAGATTTCATCTATAGATTTAATATTATCCTTATCAAAGTCCCAACTGGCTTCTTTGCAGAAATTTATAATCTGGCCCTAATCTAATACAGACATTCAAGGGATTCAAAAATAACCAAAACAATATTGATAAAGCACAAAGTTGGAAGACTCACACTCCAGGTTCAAAGTTTACTACAGACTGCAGTTACTGAAACTGTGGCCTAGGCATACTCAAGTAGGCACCATGTGTATACATCTGAACAGGAGACAGTGTGGCCTTAGACTCACAACAGACAGGATACCTTCTTGCTCTGAAACCATCAGAAAGTCCTGCTGTCACCATACTTCCTAACATCCTAACATGAACCTAGCAAATATGCTCATGCCCTCATCACACTGCTTGTTCTCTGGCATAACCCTGAGGAGCATATATTCTAACTGCTTTAG